TCGTTCACTAAGTCGTCATTGGTCCCAGTGACCAATAAATCATCCACGTATGTTCCAAAGAGTAATATTCCACGATCATCCTTTTTTATAGAACAAACATGGTTCAACAATCGATTGCGTCAATCCCAAATCGATTAATTTTGTACTAAGTAACCGATTTCATAATCTACCAATTTGTTTCAAGCCGTAAAGGCTTTGAGGTAGAAACAATACGATTACACCCACAGAATTCACACCCAACTCCTTCAATACTTGATCCCGTATCTCCATCCCTTGTGGGATCTTAATATAAATGGGGATTCCTTTTCAGCAAATGCTTTGTACAGCACACCGAGGGAGGAGTGTTGAAAACAAGTTAAGTCTTCACCTTAGTAAACCAGGAGGAGTTATGAAACTCCCAACCATTTGCATAATTACATAGCTAAACGCAGAATATATTCACTTGGAAACTTACCTTCAAACCACCAGGTCCTTCCTTCCTATCTGTCATTTACAGCATTTTGCGCAGAAGTAGCGTATCGGGCCACCGATTTAGTTTCAAAATTGTTTACTACTTATGACCTAGTTAATGATTATTATCAAATAATGATGAGAGACAGCAATGCACTGCTCACTGCGGCGAAGGCTCCAAGCGGTATGCACTAATAGTGGCTGGTCATACATAGAAACCGTAAGCACATGAGCGAAGCTCAATCGTTTGATGACGCAGCTCTTCAGACCACATCGTGAAAACGAGCAAACATATTTCGACGTATATCGATGTGGATGACAACGTCAACAGTTCACAAGAAGCCTTCTTGTGTTACTGCTTAAATAAGCAGTTCTCCGATAAAGAAAGACGTTTGGCGCCGATGAATTTATCTATTTGGATCACTTCATTTGGGAGCAAGCCTTCGTGCAGATCCCGCGACGATATAAACTGTTTTTGATTGCTCAGTGCCTCTGTTTCAAAGAACTTAAGAGCTGGCTTAGCCTACCCAGATTTTTCATGAGTTTATTCCAAACTAGAAGGGCGTATGGTCTACTGGCTCTTTCGACGGTAGATCAGTCATTTTGTACCGTCGGTGACGCTCCATCTAAGCTCACGTCGATGAGCACGAATACGTGATCGCGTTTGAAACTTATTAGTTCAAAACTGCTGCAATGAACACTGTTGACAAGGATACTTACCACGCGGAATGCCCTTATCATCTCCGAAGCTCACCTGCTACCGTCACAAAGTAGGCTCTAGTCTTTGGGTCGAGCAGAATCGGCTTGTTGACATTAGCCCTGCTAAACTTCGTAGCTAAATTAGTGAATTTATTCAAATGAGATTTAGCTCCGTGCACTGGCTGCGCTACGTAATGACGATAACAAGAGAAAATTACAACACGCAGATATGAGAAACAAGCAAATTACATACGGAGGTGAGAGTTTCATTGAATGCAATTGACCTACATGTGACGGAGTATATACGACAAGGTCGCAAATGCGCTACCTCGTTCCGTTTACAATCGTAGCAAAGATCATGCACTTAACAGAATGCAGTCATGTTCAGCATTGAATATGGGCTAACTGATAGCATCGGTCTGACGACCAAGCCGGACGTGAAGAGCTCTAATGCAGCCGAAGCAAAGTCTCTACCATCATCTATAGCAGCTGTGACAAGATTAAGAATCGATATGAGCGCATTCAGCTACAATGGTCCAAGCTACACGCCTGCACGTCCTAAAAAGTCATTTTCATTATGAGAGATTGTAAAATGCATCCATTTAGCAGTCGTTTAGCCCAGCATAGGGCGAAGTTACAGTGTTGGAGGCTCTCGGTTCTGCGTCTGGTAAAAGTGCACGAACCCAAACTTTGTGCGTTTGTAAGTGCGAAGTTCCAAAGTCAAAGCTTATACTCTATGCAAAGTGCAAGACAACCATGTTGCACAAAGCGTATGTACGCTATCAAACAATAAGAAGTATGAGTTACTCGGTTTGGTATCTCATGGTGCCCAACAGCGCGGAGTCTGAGAGTCAAATCTTAGTTAAAGCAGTTTAAGTATTAGCAATAGTCGCTGAGCATCAGAGATCAGTTTATTTGACTTAACAACTAATTCGATGTCTAATGTAGTGTTTCAAATCGATAAAATGCAATGTTTCAATGGACGTGCGGTACTGCAAGATCTTCCATTGAAATCTCACGGCTCCATCGTCTGGCGCGACATCAGTTCCTTGGCAATAATCATGCGTTGAATCTGAGAAGTCCCTTCATAGATCTGATAGATCTTAGCATCACGAAAGAGTTTCTCAACAGGATATTCAGTATTAAATCCAGCACCACCAAAGATCTGTACTGCATCCGCAGCTACTTTATTCGCATGGTCACCAGCAAAGCGTTTAGCCATCGATGCAAAGATAGTATTTTTTCGACCACAATCAATCTCATACGCAGCTTTATACGTCAATTGACGACCAGCTTCAATTCCTGTCGCCATATCTGCTAACATAAATTGAATCGCTTGATGCATGGCAATAGGTACCCCCATTGTCTTTCGTTCCATTGCATATTTCCGCGCTTCATCAAACGCACGACGTGCCAATCCAACAGCTGCAATGGCTACAGGTGGACGGGTGATATCAAAAGCTTGCATAGCAATTTTAAATCCTTCGCCAACTTTTCCCAATACATTTTGAGATGGTACTACAACATCTTCAAACGAAATACCTCGTGTATCCGAACAACGTTGTCCAAGATTAATTTCCTTCCGTCCAACATTAATACCAGGTGTATCAGCATCAACAATAAATCCAGTAAAAGCTTTTCCAGCATTTGCCTTTGAATCAGTCTTAGCCAATACAAAATACCAATTCGCAACACTTCCATTCGTAATCCACATCTTTGAACCATTTAAAATCCAATTCTCACCTTTTTGAACTGCTGTTGTTTTTGCTCCAGCCACATCCGATCCAGCACCAGGTTCAGTCACACAATAAGCAGCTTGAAGTGGCGCTTCTACTAATCGACTAAGATATTTTTGATTTTGTTCATCTGATCCAGCTACTAAAAGTGGAGCAATAGCAAGACTATTAGCTTCCATAGCTGTCGCCATTCCAGTACAACCATATGCAAGTTCTTCTCCAATCAGACATCCATCAAATGAACCAAGACCCAAACCACCAAATTTCTCTGGAATATGTGTATTCACAAGTCCAAGTTCCCAAGCTTTTTGAAAAATCTTATGAGGATATTCCATACTTTGATCGTAAACTTTTTCGTTTGGAATCATCTCCTCAAGCGCAAATTTACGTGCTACTTGTTGAAATTCACGTTGATCATCCGATAATTTCAATGAAAAGTTCGAGAATTTGGATTCATCAATGTGTTGATGAAGTCCAAAGGATCGTGAGCCTTGAAACAATCGACGTAAAGCACGATGAGACGTAGTGAGGAACATTTTTGGATCTGAAAAACTGAAGTGAAAGATTTCTTGGAAATTTAGCAGGGGGTACAGTATTTGTAAATTTTTATAAAGTTTGACATATTTACATTAAGATGAAAATTAGTATTGTTATTGCCAATGTCATAAATGTAGGATTTTATCATTAAGAAAGATGGTGACGCTTAGCTGTGCTGTCGTCGGTGCCGCGGGTAGCGCATTTCCTGTGGACATTGACGAGATAAAGTTGGTGGGCCACTTGAAGGACATGATCAAGGTAAAGAAGCCGAATGACTTCAAGAATATCGACCCAGACAAGTTGCAGCTCTTCCTGGCGAAGACGGCGGACGGCGTGTGGCTTTCATCCAAGGATCCTGCTGTGGTTGCTTTGCAGAGTGGAGATGTTCCCGACCAATTGAAGACACTGCTGATCATGGAAATGTACCCAGCAGACGAGATTGGCGAAGTGTTTGAACGTGCTCCGACGAAGAAGACGATTCACGTGCTGGTGGTGGTTCCAAAGGATGAAAACGACCGCTCCGCAGCCATGGCTCTCGGCGTGCCCTCTTTGCTACCAAATACAATTCATCGTCATCCCGAACGTCTTATGCGATGAACTGCGATTAACGAAATGATTCGACAGAAGAATCAAGAAGAATACGAGAAGACGAGCACTCGAGACACCAACAAGAAGCGAAGGAACAGAGATATCGATAGCTCGTTGCCGTATTCAAGCCTGTCGTGGACTGATCTTGAACCGATTCTGTCAATCGAGGACTTTAATCTCGAAGCGAGTGCTGTTCCCCAAAAAGTTGTGGAAGAGCTACGTGATCGGCTTATGCAAGTATGTAAACTGTATGGGGATGTTTACTCGGGAAAGGAAGGCAAGCGTCAAGTCTTTATTATGGCTATTATGTCTTATGCTTGGTGATGCCACGATTCTTGTTGAAGAGGATGTGGAAGGAAAGAACGTGCATGTGCACGGTCGCTTCGAGTTTGTGTTGAAGCGTGGCAAGAAGCATGTATCCATCGTCGAAGCAAAACGCGATGATTTCCGCAAGGTATTGCCCAGAATGTGGCCGGCCTTGAAGCTTTGTCTGACGTGGAGGGATTAGAGCAGACACTTCGTATTGTTACCAACTATCTGGAGTGGGTATTCATCAGCGATGACGATGAAAAAATTCGACGGATGAATACAACGCTCAAAGTCTATGGAGCGGTGCCTTCAACTGAAGAACTTCGGGAAATTGTCGGCATAATTTGTGGTTTGCTCGCGAATAGCACTTAATAGTCGCGCAATTACTATATTTCTTTACGAATGTTATTCCGTGTTACTACCACAGGGGTTACAGTATTCGCAAATTTTTCAAAGTTTTACATGGTTACATTAGGATGAAAATTAGTATTGTTGTTGCCATTGTTATGAAAGGTAGGATTTTATCGTTAGGACTAGTGTTGCATCCACACCTTGCTGCTTGTACTCGCAAGACACTAAAATGGTCATTCCAGTACCCATCAAGTGTTCGTGCAGGATCGAAATAGAAATCTTGTGGTGCGTACACACCATCGCATTCTTTGTATACGGCATCAAGAAGTGATTGACACTTGAATGGACACTTAAAAGTCGTGGGGTTACACGCTAAACATGATCCAGTTGTCGATCCATTGCCTTCAAGACCAAGTTGCTCGACTGCAAAACTACATGGAGCCCACGAGTTTCCTAGTGGCGATGGATTGATGTACGTACATTTACTTGCCTTCAGCAATAGAGCAAAGAAACACACACTTGTTGCATGGTACATGTTTCTTAAATGTTTCATCTATATTTAACATGCAAAAAACAGGATGCAACAAAAAAACCATAATGTAACCATGCCAGACAAAAAAATGCAATATTTCCCACTATTCTGATTACAATAATGGCATCAGAATCTCATCTTAGTAACTACGTCCCCAAAGTACCCAACATTTCGCTGGCTTATCACTGATAAAGCACTTGGTTCCATCCATCACCGGATTCTCTTCATTCTTTTGATAAGGAATGCACAAGGTCTTAGCAGCAGCACTTGTCGCTGTGTTTTCTGCTTCATCTTGTATTCCCATTAAACTCAGCGATTCTTCACGTGATCTCGTCTTGACTATTTCTTCCCACTCAATTTCATTGCAAAAAGGAGTCAAAGCCATACATCCATCTTGAAGACATGGTACGAAATCTTTCCACTCTGTTACTTCTCGAATATGTTGATCACGTAAAATCGTAGCACGATGAAGCATATCATGTTGAATCTCTTCCAATAAATTCGGAATGCGAGTCGCAAGATCTGACTCTGGAATATCTTCTTTCATTCCAGTATCACGACGTACAACACGTACTTGTTGTTGAGCAATATCCTTTGGACCAAGTTCAAAACGAAGGGGTACACCTTTCAATTCCCAATAATTGTATTTCCATCCAGGTGTATACCCACGACGTTTATCGGCTTCAATTCGTACCCCAACATTTGTCAAATTGGCAACAATTTCATCTGTTTTTGCAAACATTTCCTCAACTTCAGTCTGATTCTGATATGGAATTGGGACAATTACAACTTGAACGGGTGCAACACGTGGTGGTAAAACCAACCCCTTATCATCCCCATGTACCATGACCATCACTCCAATCGAACGAGTTGTAAAACCCCAAGAATTTTGCCATGGAATTAATTTCTTGCCATCTTCATATTCAGCAGTAATTCCAAACATTTTTCCAAAATTTTGTCCAAGCATATGCGATGTTGCAGCTTGAATCCCACGTCCAGTAGCAGGAATAAATCCTTCAATTGTCGTCGTATAATCTGCTCCAGCAAATTTTTCTTTCTCGGTTTTCACACCTTTAATCATAGGCACAGCTAAAAGTTCTTCATAACAAGCGGCATAGAAATTTAAAACTGTACGCACTTCTTCATCAGCTTCTTCTTTTGTACCATGAGCTGTATGACCTTCTTGCCATAAAAACTCTCGTGTACGCAAAAATGGAGTTGGGTTTTTAAATTCCCATCGTACAACATTATTCCATTGGTTTAATTTCATAGGCAAATCACGATGACTACGAATCCAATTTTTAAATGCTGGATACATAATCGTTTCACTTGTGGGACGAATTGCAATTGGGTCTTTTAACTCCGATGTCCCAGATTTTGTCACCCATGCCACTTCAGGTGCAAAACCTTCCAAATGGTCTTTTTCACGTTCTAATTTTTCTTTCGTCACAAACATGGGAAAATAACAATTTTTCACTCCAATTGCTTTTAAATTTCGATCCAAGAAATTTTGAATACGTTCCCAAATTTCGTATGAATACGGACGTAAAATATAACATCCAGACACATCATAGTAGTCAATCATTCCAGACTTTGTGATTGCATCTGTGTACCAATCCGCAAAGTTTTCTTTCTTTGTTGCTGACATACCTTCATTTGCTTTTTGTTCCACTGTTTTCTTCTTCTCTTCTTTCTTCACTTTACAAGGTTTGGAACTACTAGCAGTAGAACTTGTTGTTTCTTCGAATTGAGCAGCAAAATCCACAACAATAGGTTCGTGATTGAAATGTTTCACAAACGTGAGAAGATCATTCGTTTGAATGCTATATGTCTGATCATTACGTAGTGGATGGCAATTGATTTGTGTTGCATCCACTAACGCCTTGTCCAGTACGAGACGCACAGCATTCATCTTATCATGCATAACACAAAGCGGTGAGACGGAACCTTTGGTAACTTTAAGAGTCGATGCAAGCACATCTTCAGCAGCCAAACGTAAATTCCACTTCGTCCCTCCAATACCAGCAGAATGCAATTGTGCACCAAGCTTTTTTGTATCCACGACAGTAGTTGGAGCAGCCGTCACAAGAAAAAGACCTTCTTTTTTATCTTTCAATACCAAATTTTTAGTCGAGAGACCTGGTAAATGACTTAACTCAGCAATGACATCCTCAGTTGTCGGTAATTCACGATGTTCATGCTTTTCATACGAAATAGAAAGCGATGAAAGTGCCGCTGCGACTTCCACGTCAGCTTGAGATTTTTCCAACGATGCCATGAGGGGGAGATTGAAAATGGCCACACGTTTGCTGTCCGAGATTGAAAAGACTCATAATAGAAACTATATATCAAAACATAATACTATCCACAAGAAGATTGGGACATTCATATATTACAGAATAATAGTATAATATGACAGTAGTACATGAACTACTATTTACGTCAACTACAAGCATACGACAGATAAGTTGCCAGCTGGCACGTCTTGCGGATAATATTCGAGTTCTCTTGGTGGGATAGTCAAAGAGAGTTCGAGCTACATCAGCGACGCACAATTATATTTCTCAAGCTTCGATAATGATTTGTTTTCTCGTCGTGATTATGGCGCTGACTTGCAGTTTCTTGAGTGCTGAGGTACTCGATCGCGACAAGATGCTTGACGTTATGGCCAAGGTCCACGGCAATCACGATTATAGTATTCGAAATGATGATTTAGAAGAGGCGACAGAAGAGCTCAAGTGTTATGGTCATTTTACACGTGATTATGATCCTGTATGTGGTTCGAATGGTAAAATTTACTCAAATCTCAGTATGTTTACCTACCGCCAATGCATGATGAAGATTCAAGAGAATATTGAAATTCAAGTGAAGGAAATGAAGTATTGCAAGGATGCTCAAGTGGAAGACATGACACATGTATCGTGAACTTAGACGCAGTTGAAGAAACATGAGCTTAATGCCGTCATGAAAGTTCTACGTGGCTTTCAATGGGACTATGAGCATAGTAGTGATAAGTCTGTGTATTATTATTCAGATAGCATCATGTTAGAAAGTAGTACATTTCGTAACATATGACTTTATACTAGTTACTACTTTTAATTTGCAATGTGTGTGGTAATATCTTTCAAACCGAATGTTTATGATAAGATTAAAGGGTATAAACCGTAAATCTTCCTCGGAATTAGACCATCAAGTCAGTGGAGCAAAGTTCCCATCCCACACCCACGATCCTAAGCATCAACACAATTAATCTTACGTGGCGTGTCATACAAGGAGACGAAGAGGAAATATGATGCAATTTTTCACGTTTGTACTTGTGATAATGGTAGCATTTTTATTCATTGGTATCAAGGCAACACCAGAGGAAGCAAAGCTACGTGTGGTTAGCAAAGTGCATTCAAATCCGGATGTCTTTGTCACAAGTAAGGAGAAGAGAGCGAAGCGACATGGACATTGTGTTGATTCTGGTTCAGTGGAAGATAAACCAGTATGTGCATCGAATGGTAAAAAGTATTTGAACGAAGATGTGTTTGAATTTCACAAGTGTTTGATTCAAGCTCAATTTGGGGAGAATATTGAGATTGTCAAGATGGAAATCTGCACATCAGCTCAAAAAGAAGATAACGAACATCCAGACGTTCCTGACCGCGATTATACGTAAAAGACGATAGATCAAGTGCATGCATCAAGTGATTGTGGATGGTATGGGCAAGAATTTGCTACTTCTAGTGTACTGCGTAGTGTGTCGAATTGCGTGTACTACATTACGTTAGGAATTTAATCCCTCAACATGTATAAATTTAGACGCGATTTTAAAATCTAGTTTTTAGTCACTTTTCAAATTCATAAGAACAGACCTCACGATCTCACGATAAAAATCTTAGGAGATGGGAAAAGTTCTCGTGTCATTCCAATTTTGACCAGCATTTCAAGTCTTTCAAGCTTCAGAATGAGGACACGACTTTGTCTATTCCTTTTGTTAATGGGATGGACACCTTTATACGCTTATGATCACGACAAGTTGTTACGTACAATTGTTTCTGTTCATGCGAATGAAAACGTCGAAGTGAGAGATGGTGAAACACGAAAAAAGAAACCAAATGATTGTATTGATGATGGAACGCGCGATGGAATTCCGATATGTGCATCAAATGGTAAACTTTATCTCAATATGAATCGCTTTAGATACAACAAATGCCTCATTAAAGCAGAGATGAATGAAGATATTTTTCTTGCCGATCCAAGTTTTTGTAAAGACGCCAGATTTGAAGACATTAAAAGTGAAGGATTGATACCACAAGCAGGATAAAGTCAAGTTATGATCAAGTGTGTAGTTGTCCAGTTAACAAGGTGGTAATCGATTGCGCTCGAGTACAATCAATCGACGATCTTCACCTCCAACGGCATTCCATAGTTTTCTTGGTATCTTTTCCTTTGATGGTACTGGTGCTTGATGTTTACAATAATGTAATGGTTCATTCTCAGAGATTAAACCAAGACTTGTAGTTGGTAATGCTTTCCGAATTTCTTCACCTTGACTACAAATAACCATCTGAGATGTAGCAAATGATGATCGTGGAGTTGAAACTATATTTTCAACTACTGTTCGTGATCTCAATGTTTGTTTTCGTATTCTTCGAATCAAAACAACTTGTTTTGAAGCACGCATGAGCTTTTGTACTGGCGATAATGGGCTACATACAAGATAAAATGTAAGTATACGCTGCACACTTGAACGTTAAGAGAAATACGCACAGAATTGCATCGCGCCAATCTTCTTCTTTCTCTTGACAGACCTGAGATTCAGCTTTACTACAACTAGTAAATCGATTTAGTCGATTTGAAAACTTTCGTTCAAAATTACGGAGCACAGGTGGCTGCAATGTTGCAGCATCAATTGGTCGTTCGATTACATGTGTTAGAAGTTGCTTTGCCGATGTCTCAGGATCTAAAGCTTGAAATGGCAAGTAAATCTTATCTCGCACTGAAGAAGTAGCATCCTCATCTGGAACTTGAATTATCAAAGTTTCCGAGTTATTTGTCGTCGGTGCACTTGTAGTCATCTCAAAAGATTCGTCATACGTTGTAACGTTAGACGTTTGAAAAGAGTCGAAATCCTGTCGTTGTGGTGCCTTGGCCTTTGGTAGTTTCTCAGGCAGTACATCTCGCCTTGATATAAAGACACTTCCTCTTGAAAGTCCAGCCAATAAATCTCCATCAGCATTGAAAAAACATAGACATGAGACTGCTGTGGCAAATTTAACTTGACGTAACAAAACACGCTCTTGATCCCAAATTTTAACAATTGCATCGATACTTGTGGTAAGAACAAGTCGTTTTTCATCAAGAAAATCACCAGCGCAAACAATTGTATCATGATCATCATCTTTGCCTTTAAATGTTTGAATCGTTCCATTTTGATTTCGAAGTGCATGTAGAATGACACGACCGTCATCATAGCCGTTTAAAATGATTTCAGAGAGTGGAGAGAGAGCAAATAAAGACGGCGATTGACCAAGAACGAGTACATTACGTAGTACAAACTTTGGATGAAGATTCCATACTCGCATTTGATTTACTGCATCGAAAGTCACAAGCAATGCAGATGAAATACTTGCACTGATATTTACAATAGGAGCATCGTGTGCATCAAACGTCAGTGTAGCCTCTCGTCCTCCACATAAACCTGTGTGCCAAAAAACGAGTTGACCTGACTCACAACCACATGCAATCCATTCCCACTCAGTTGGTGCATTGCGTCTTTGAAGTGGCGATACAAGAGGCACAGGAGGCGTATTCGATCCAAAGATTGATTGTCGTCGTTGTCTTGGTGGTCGTTGGCTTGACGGCACTGCGTTGATAATAGGTGCATACGGACACACACATAGACAGCGCAAAGATCTTTTCATGTTGTCATTCTTGTCTTTTTCTAGACAAGAATTGGATGTCGGTGCACTTATCGATACATTGAAATCGATGATTCGCTCAACATTGTTCTTGATCGATTCAAAGTCCGAATCGTTATCCTTTTCTGTCGTTCGAGCAAGTGGATGAGATGCATTGACAATGACAATGTTTTGACTCTTCATTAGTAAAAATAAATGCTGTGAGACTGGATTGAGAGCAAATGCTACGAGATCGGAAGCCTCTTTGTCAGGAGTCCATGTAAACTTTGGTGCTTCCTTTTGTGATCGACCTGGAAATATTCGCAACGTTTTATCCATCGACACAAGTACTACAAGTTGTTTTGCTATTTGTTCATTCTCATCATTGTCAAGACTTTCGTTTTCATTTCCGTGATCGTGTAATTGAGTTGAATCTTGATACGGAAAGACTACGCGCTGGAGTAGACAGAAAGGCACAAGAGACGATTGATGGTCTTTGAAAATGGATTGAATAGTGTAAATTTTGACACTATTTCGAAGCTGGCAGTAAAAACGATCTGCTATGGATCTATGAGAGTTCGACGTGATCTGAGCTAAAGGTAGTAACTGTAAAGAATACACACTATGTCCAATATTATGGCGATGTACTTGACGTCGGGTTTCAGAGTCCCATAATCTTACAGAACCATCAAGTGAGCTCGAAATAACGAGGTGAGATGTCAAATGTTCTGTCAGACTTGTAATCGTCTGTGTGTGATGCTCGAAAATATGGACGAGGGAGATTGGAGAGTACGAGAGCACAATGATTGCACCACGACTGGTTCCACAAATTAACGTTTTTGTGCTTTCTTGCACAACAAATGCTGATAATGTACCATGTTCTGATGGAAACAAGTCGTACCAGCGTTCCAAATGAGCTCCATCTGTTGTATGAAAGACATCAATATAGTATCGAGTCTGTGCATATAATTGCGAAGTCACGAGACTCAGTTGAAGATGTTCCACCCAAGCTAAACGTTCGTCTGTACTTTTCGAAGTATTAACTTGTTGTTTCTGTGATCTATGTCGACTTAAATAAGTGGTAGCTGTAGTGTCATGAAAGAACTTTAATAACGATATGAACTCATAATGAGGATTGAAAGTTCCTTCAGGAAGTCCTGGTGGTCGTGGATTCATATGCCACGCTCCACACCCATCAAATCCTCCAGTAAGTAATCGATGATGTTGAGTATCAAATACCATGGTAAGTACAGTGCCTCGACCTGTAGAAAGCGCTGCTAATTCATTAAGGTTTGAATCATAGAATCGTAATGTATCATCTAGTGCTGAGGCCACAAAAAGCCGACGAGAATCGATAGAAATGATCGTTTTGATAAATTGAGACGTACGACTTGGTGGACTTACGACACGTAATTGAGTACCAGTCTGAGCGTGCCAAAGTCTTAAACAAGTTTCATCGACTGACACAAATGTGTCTTGCTGCCAATTGTAGCAGATTGCACCTATAGACGAATTGTGGCGAGTAAATTCGATCTCGTCGTGGATCACAGCACTTTGAAACATAAGTGAGAAGATAGAGAGACGTTGAAAACCGCTATACTTAATATAAACATGTCAAGAAGTAAGGGATGATAATGCAGAAAGACAAGTAGCAGAAGCGCTCTAACACTTTCTCGCAAGATGTAATTTTTCTTCCCTCATTAATTTGCTGTTTATTCGTTGGATGTCTGAACCCGCTGTAAAGCATCCTTGCAAAACTGGTGCGAGGAAGACCTTGTTTCAAATAAATTATATAATATGGTCACTCGATCTGTCGTTCGCTGTCAGTTCATTATATGTTCTGGTTGAGTCATCGTTATTGTGGAAATTCTCGTCTTTCTAAATTGACAACTGACTGTCTTGGTGCTTCTCATGCCAGGTTACTGCGTAATATCATTTGAGCAGATGCAGGAGATAAGCATTTCTGTGGCTTTTGAGGGATCAATCGATGATAGTTGAGTGTGATACTGTTTTTTAAATCTTCATCGAATAACGATCATCCCTCTACTGGTCTGTACACAGGCGTCGCCACGCTCGACACTTCTCAATTTGATTTAAACGTTGTGGTAATCCATGAGCATTTAAATACGGACTATTGTAGGAATATCAGTATCTATGAAGATGATGAAGCTCAGTAGAGGAGGCATCCTGTTACTGGTGGGCTGGTAGCCGCACGTAAGAGCAAACTAGTTCTTTTACGAGAGGCCGTAGACGTATCGGCCCAAGTAGAATCAATCTGAAGTATCACTTACAGCCGATCTCCAGTGATTGCGTAAGCTCGTTCATGAAGCTGTACCATGTACAGGCAATCCGCCCACCTGTGATTTGAGCGCTTAAGCTGCTGGTCTGCAAGGATCAATCCAGCTCAACATTTACTAAAATTGTTCCAGTTAGATAGTTTGCTTAGAAACTGAACTGCAGTATTCAATGAAAGATATCAACAGCAGCGATAACTTTCACATTGATCTAGTTGAGGAACACTGTTCAGGTGTTGATTGAAAGCCGTCTAAACGAACACCAGCCGTGAGGAGCTACGTCTAGGGTGATGTAACACGGTACGTACTTTACTATTGTGTACTTGCTGTCTTACATTTTACTTCGCCGAGTACTTGCTCTCATCAAACCTAATTCACGCTAACTTAAAGTCGTACCACGACAAGATCGTGATGGAGTGTATCCTTTGTCGGATAAGAAAACGATTTGTCTATCCCCGGGACACTTGGGAACCTCATATCTATTGTTGGTCCCAACGGTCAGAACAGACCACGTGCGGCGGCACGTTTGGCCTGCCGCTTTCAGTACAGTGTTGGTAGTCCATAAGTAAGGACTTTTTCGGTCATATCTAGGTATTTCCAGTCATTTAGTCTTTTAAACCCCCTGCTAGTCTTACTGCTCTCAGCGATGATGTGACTGGTGAGGAGGCTCTCTTATGAAAAATTGTCGCGCCAACAAGGCTTGCCGGGAGCCATTGTATAGAATAGAGGTCAGTGAGGTTTTGGCAAAATTTATTCAAGGTGCTTGGCGCCAAATTAAGTAGTCAGCCGCAAACTATTTGCAGAGATATTCAATCGGAATGTTTCATTTGCATTACCAAGGATATCCTAAACGACTTGCGCACAGAGACCGCGGTGCAATTGTCATCCACTCATTAAATTTGCGCTGAATGACGCAGTACTTGCCTTTACGGCTTTACCTCGTTTACATACGCGATTTGGCAAAGTCCGGGTGCCACTGGCAGATTCTGACAATGGTACCAATTTAGGTGGAAGAGGAGACGTCGATCGACTTGCTGGTATCAGCCCGGTGCAAATTTGTGATTTCATACCAAAGTAGTGATTTCATACCAAAGTAGTGATTTCATACCAAATTGATTTAGCGATCTTCGCAGGATGCGCGACGGTATGACTGAAGGCCAAGGCAGCACACCGATATTAGAGCCAGGCGGAACACACGTCATATGTTGTGGGGTGAAAGGTTCTATTAGATCAATACACATGAAGTGAATGTGGTCTTTAAGACCAAGTCGCGACCGTGCTACATCTGGCGGTCATAGAGAAACAAGGCTGAATTATACTCTGACTTTACCGAGGAGAATGCGAACACACCCAGTATTCTATGTGGGCTAATAGAGCCATAGCGTGATCACGCTTCTTACGATCCAGCCAGACGCGAAGAGCTCTATTGAAGACAAAACGACATCTATACTATCTCTGTAGCTTGGCTACTCTTTTCCCAAACAGCGATGTGGTTCTGAACATCTGGGGGTGCCTTAAGCTAGGAAGTACAATGGCGAAGATTAAAAAGCAAATCCAATATCTAGCTTATCTCAGATTTGAACACACGTCGTAAACCTTGAAGAGAATTGACGTACCGCCATAAACGAAGGAGCTTAAAGGAGCTAGCCACGGGAGGATCGGCCTTCGTCGACACTGATCGATGAGCAAGGGGTGGTTCACACTCACGTGTAATTATAAGTGGTCCATCGGGTACACCAGCGATCTTACCACATCTATTTAAATACACGAGGGATTTTTAGACTCCACTTCGGCAAGATCGCCCTGGTGCTGCATCCCCTCGACGTCCGCGTCGTGTTCTGAACTTTGAAACGAAAAGCATGAGGCAACGCTCGAGGTGCAAGTCCGCTCGGGTGATCTGGCTTATGAAGGCTTGGGGGGCCTCGAGCCAGGTCCAATCTGTTAGTTACGAGCCGAATATCGTCGGTGGATTCTGCGGCTGGGTGTCAAGACGCTTTTCTTGATGGAAATGGGTATAAAGATCCTGAATCATCCGCACAGGAGCGAACATTCGGCGCAAGCTAGCTCTAAACATCAGGCGCTTGTCGATATTGGTGTGGAACTCCAGATGCAGCTGTCTCCACAAAGACTTTTTATAGAAAATGTTGACATCCGATATGAGTTCTCCTGGGTTTGATCCTGTTGAGACGGATTGAAGTGACTGTGCGTTGCAGTAAATCAATCAGTACCTGGGGTTACCAAGTGTGGTTGATCATGACGACAGCTAAGCGGATATTTGAGCTCATGTGGAGTAAAGGCGAGCTTGGGTAATGAAGTTAAGAGGCAAGCGGATGCGGCTAGCTCGTAAGGGCAGTAAGAATTCACTTAACGTCTTATTGGTCTAGAAATCTCTCTCTGTTATGAAGGGGCTGAAGAGACCTCACGGCAGTTGGAATGCTTGGGAGACGTATCAGCTTAGCTATAGCAAAATGTTGAGCTCGCATCTTTGTTTCAAAGGCAAGAAGAAAATACCAGCTGCATGATGCCAAACGCGCAGAAGGACTCAATGTGTCTGCTACTGACCAGACGTGTTGACGCCGACGATCTATAGGCATAGATCTATAAAAGCCAACAGAGCTGCTTAGAATGTGATAAATGTTGACATTGTTCTACGTATTAGCCTTGACGTGAAAGACATAGCAAATTAAAAAGGACAACTTTACAGGATGCCGTCTTGAAATCGACTAAGGTTACAAACAACATAGTTATCAACCTGACACCGAAAAAGAAAAGACACCACTAGTCTTTCCAAACCTGCAATGGACAACCGGGTAATCAACCGACAGTCAACAAATGTACAGCGGCACCACAACGACGTCGATTACTTCCTGACATTACTTCTAATAAAAAGACCGATTTTGGTAATATGAGCAAGTATTGAAATTTAAAGACAGTTTATATTACTGTTTGTTTTTTACCGTAGCTAAACAGGACAACTATGCTAGAATCCTGACCATTAGTCTCGTCCATTCCAAGGACGAACGTAATTTTATACTACCGTTTAGGCAATCAGTACAATTCTACAATTGGTCTCCTCAAACTCTCGGATTCACTATTTAATCCACTCACTACCACACCTGTCCTTATCCTAAGACTCGCAAACGAAGCCAAGTTGACATGATAGTCTCCTAGTACCCCAGGTACTGATATTGGCTATCTTCCATCAGTATTATATTTTTTTTACCAAAAAGGCTTCTTAACTTGTAAGACAATAAGTTACCATACACTCACTTCATTCCGTATGATGCAGTCTTCAACAGACTCGACAAGAGTGACGTGTTTCTGTCGCAATCAAATCTTCTGTAAAAAGGACACCAAACGAGTCGTGTCGTCTCTGCCTGTAATGTTCTGTAGTACCATAGTAAAAATCGTCATACGATAGTCGCAAAATATTGATTTGGCTATTTTTTGCTTATTAAATGGAGAAATAAAAAACGCTTGTATAAAATTCAATAGAGCTCACTTTACTGGAACGCATGTTTGATCTGCTTAAGCAAGCGAATCTCCTCATTCCAAAGTATCGACTGCTTTCAATTTCAACCTTTGAGCTGTTTCTTTAAACATCTGATGTACAGGTACAAAAGAATTACCGAACAGCTTGTTTTGCAGTATAAAGGTATCTGATCCGAAGGGTATGCTGATCTTGCGCGATGCATCCTAAGGCACGTCTCTTGGTATGGATGTCGCTGTGTTGCGGGATGCCAGTTTGTACAAGTAAGTTTAAAGGGTGGACCTTCCTAGTCGTGACTCGAAGAATAAACCAATCGTTTTCTGTGGCCAATGTTCTTCTAGCTAGGTAGTAATGAAGATCGTTCTTTCCATTTACAATGTCATCGTGATTCTATAAAAAAAGGGTCAAATATAATAAACAGAGCAGGCGTAAGGCTCAATAAAGAAGGTTGTTAGGAAAGACGGGTTACGCTCTCCATCGTATTGTAGAATCTGTGTTTTTCAAATTCTACATCTTTTGTAATCTAACTAAAAAAAGCTGCGGTGAAGCTTCGAATAGATTTCAAGGACGATCACAAAGCTAAGAAATTTCTATCAAAAGGCGTAGATAACGCCAAGAGTTGGATTATGGGCAAATTAGGTCAAATAGTAATCATAAGTATTATAATACGCGCATTTTATTAATAAAAAACATTAAATTTGGGGAGATGTTTTTCGTGCCAGACGACGATGATAAAGACTGACCTTCTCGATAATGCGTGCCTTAATCGTCATCCGTAATAGAGAATTCGAACATGGAAGATGCGATAAACACTATAAAGCAACAAGCTTTTTGATAGACAGTCATGAGGTCCTCGACTTACAAAGCTGCGGTAATGACGTAGATTAGCTAATTTAACAGAGAGCGTCTAAAATATATCAAACCTAGGAAATTTACACTGCTCTTTTTTTTCACTAGAATACCAGGATTTGTATGCCACTCTAGGTTGTCGCATCAGCTGTGGCTAGGCTCTATTGAATCTTCACCAGCCCAAGATCAATCTTGAGCACTGATCCGTACTGAATCTCCCTAATCCCAGTACTTCCAATGATTGTGGCGGCCATTTTGCAATTCGACTCAAGCTCGACCCGTCAGTCTAATACCTGATTTGTTTGGTGCGAGATCTCCCCCCTCTGATTTTTCGCCACAGTAACCGAACAGGACTATAGGACGTATTACAGGACGGTCTAGGACCATTCTTCTAGAACAATGCAGCTCATCCAGGCATTTCTAATGGTCACTATCCTTTGTGTGGCTACAATCAACGCTGAAAATCCAGAGTTCCAGAACGACATTCGACAACCATCGAACGACACAGACACGAATACTGGAAAGGATTCTGTTGCCAAGGGTTTTGATGTGAATAAAGTCGAATTCTCAGTAAGTGACCCTAGCGAAGAAGGAGGCGAAAATGTTTCAAAAGACCACACGCCTTTGATAGCAGCTGTGGGTGCGTGTGCGTGTGTTGGTGTGTTGGGTGCAGTCTACATGAAACGACGGAAGCAAAATGAGAAGTTACCGGGTGAGATTTTCACAATTGACGATAAAAACTCGGTTTTGTAAATGTCAGGCTCCTCAACGCGACTATTCATGACGAACGTCGTCTAGAGGATCTGTCTTATTACGCTGGTAGCATTCGATTGAGAGTTGAAAAGGGTGTGATCGAAATACTACTTTTTATTTAGCATTAATTGGCGTTACGAGCAAGTTTCATCCCTTTTCGTAGTTTCGAAGACACGTAACGTGGTCGTTAGATATGTAATCGCAGCCTAATCGATCGTAGAAATGGTGTAGTTGGCGTCTTGCAGCAAAGACGTTGTTGATCATTACATTTCGTAATAAAAAATCTCTTTCTATCACTATAGTCTTTGAAAAAGGGAGAGAGAACACGTGGAATGGATTTTGGCTGCAGCTGTAGATGTTGGCACGATTGCTCATCTTATACTTGTATTCAGTGTGATGAGCTGATACTTCGAGACACAAGCACTAATCGATGGGAGATAAGTGCGGCTGTTTGAGCTGATGGAGCGCTAAGTAATCCATTCACATGCATAGTGACGAGTTGGCGAAACTTTTGTACCTGCCGATAGAGAGCGTACGGATAGGTAGAATTGCCCATACCACGAAAGAATTTAGCGAACACACTGGAATAGCCAGCAAAGAAGCAATGAATTAATCTTTGGTAGTCATGATGAAGCCTTAAATAATTTCTCAACAAAGCCTTTTCGAAGTCGTGATATATACAATATCTTTATATACGGAACCATGAGCCTTCGCCAGGCAGCTGCGCGAGGTACTCACGTCAGTGCACTCGTTCAAAAATTGTAAACAGAGACATTCTTTTTTTCTGGAGGCAGAAACACCTGACAAATTGAATTACCCAATGGTTTGTAGGTTCACCTTACACTTCTATGTCAGCGACAATATCATACGAATGTACGGCATACATAAAGATTCTGTGTAATCGTAAGAAGTCAGAGGTACCTAAGAAGACGACGACTAAAAGAGGTCCGTGGAACACAGAGCTGTGATTCTTGGAAATGTCATAACGGATAGATCAGGTATTAGTTTTGATAAATTTAGTCATTGGTATATTTGAGAAGCTAGCACCTGGGTAACAATTTTTTGCTGCCTCTTGTGGAGCGTACGAACCCCACCTCTGTGCATTAGTCAACGTGGATTCTTGAAGTCAAAAATTTTCTCTGTGTTCAGCGCATGGCAACCCCATTTTTGCAATCCAACGCGTAAGAGGGCTGTATCCTAAGTGAAAGAGAACACGAGCTTGATTAAGTCTTCCCATCTGAAGTAAATATACTTGGAAAGTGTAAGTTCATTGTTGGTCCTGAGGGGCTAAAAGACTGGCTGACCATGGGTGAGAAACGGCGTTCGCTCGTCTGGATGCGTTCACCAGGAAACTATCAGGAACGCCTGAACCAGTCATCAAAGAGGTCACAGATGGCACCTACCGTGGGGTCGCTAATTCTAATATTCCAGTCCTTTGAAAGCAGAGACGGATCACTGAATTTCTTCTGAGTAAGATGAGTTGGTGTGGCCATGAATTCAACTATGCGCTGAACAAGCGTCGCTAGCGGAATCGAAGCTGTAGGCCGCGCGTGAGGATGGGTACAAAAGTGCGATACCATTGTACAAGACGTATTTCCAGCAAAAAAATTGAAGTGACATTTGTTGCAGGTGTTTGCTAGGTGCGACCAATTTATCGGGTGAGCTCCAATTTTTTGTCCACCCGTAAAGGGCTTGGGAGCTAGTCACTATGCCCAGAAGCTGCGAGATCATAACACCGCAATATGGAAGGTCATCTTCTACTTTTCTGGATACTAAAAGTTTTCTCAACTTATAAGAGGTTCGATGAGGCACCGTTCGCGCCGAGATCTTCCGCTTCCTCCCTGTCTCTTCCGATGAAACGGTGAGTGTTGCATTGAATCGAGAGGACAACTTTCGAGCAACAACGGTCAAATTAGGTAGTGGAAGTGGAAGCTTTACGAGCACGCCATAGGTGACGAACCTCAGCCTTGCTGTTCAGGGAAAAGAAGTATCTTTTGGCTACCATGCAGCTCTGTCGTACTTGCAGATTGTTCAACTGCAACAGAGCAAAACATCTGCGCCATGCGTATCGCTTCCGCTTTAAACTGAAGAGCACAAAGAATCGAAATCTTAGACATGTGATGGTACAAAAAGATGTGCCTCGTACACAACATATTTCGAGATTATCCTGGATGGCCGCCTGGAAAGACAAATAACATATATTGCTCAGTGAATTCTACTGAAATCTATCTACTGGTGACCCAAAATGTATAAGTGGGTGCGAATATATCCTCCCATGTTTGAACACTGTCCGCCCGGGCCAACTGCATCGGACTCTTTGGGCGGCCTAATACTTTCAGCAAAGTGTTGATAGTCCAAAATCCTAGACTATACTTTTGGTATTAGTCTATGGTGAATTTTGCATTGATTGTTTCGAGCCATCTGAGCAAAATAATTACTTCGCTACTTTTAACAATGCCGCAAGCAAAAAGGGTATCTCTTGACCAAGTTTTTCACCGACACGGCTTGCCGGTGGCCATTGCGCCGGATCGAGATTCGCTTTATACCACAAAGCTTTGTGAAACTTTATTCGAGTGCTAGGCACCGAATGGAACTTGTAAGCCGCTCATCACCCGCGACTAGAATGTAAATACGCTAGTCGTTTGGTAGTGGATTCCCTTCGACTCGCTAGCGGCGTGAGGCTGAATTGCTAAAACGAGGTGCTCTTAATCATAAAATGTCACGCTGTGTATAAAGGGTTAGGATTTATCCGGTAATGTATTTTTTAGTTTGAAACATCATTTCCTTTGATTGGTGTAAAGCGCATTAGCCTTGGCAGAGAGGGAAAGCCAGACTCGCTGACATCATCCATGCAACACTTTAAAGCAACCGAGGATTTTTGCCATGTAATTGAATGCCCTGCGCCAGCTACCTATGGCACAATGCTTATGCGATAAGTAGGATAAAACACATGAGTATGTACAAGGTTTTCTTATTACAGTCAGCCCAATGAGCAAGCATTGTGAAATTTACAAGACTAGTTGAGTCGACGCTAAATCGTACTGCAAAAAAAAATCATCCTCGCGAAAAGTGTTGAAGTACACAACTACATCCCGAAGAGAGTAGAGCATATCTTGTTTTCTAAATGAGCTTGTTTTAGCCAAATCAAAATACCAGTCGGATGTAAAGCGCTTAGTAAAAGACGGCTGAATGTGTCAAATCCTACATAGCTGATTTATTTTCTGCTGAGGGCAATGATGTATACGTCTCTGAATCGCCAAAGATACTTCTTACGATGGCGCAGCAATGGAGCTTATCTGAAACGTTGCACATACTAGTATAACTCCAAGCCAAAGATCTTGGAGAGTCGACGTGCCACCACAACCTCGAAAAAATCACAAAAGCCAGTCGCGGGTGGGTAGCCCTTTAATGGTACTGCTCAATGAGCATGAGGTCGTCCATTTTTGCGTGAAACTGTTAGAAGTCCGGTTATTAAGACGAAAAAAAGTTTTCCGGTAACGCGAAAAGGATCATTGAAATATTACATGGTCTACTTCGCCAAGAGTGTCTAGGTGCCGTTGGCACGTTAAATCATAACACCCACGAACATTATCCTGCCAGAAGAAGATGCAAGGTTGCCCAGTGTATCAAATGAATGGGTCCCGACCATATTTGGTCAAAAGCGGGAGCGGCCGTCTCCTGAAAAATGGACGGTCCTTCTGGTCGGGAGATCAAGAGGCGATGATCATATACCTTGGCTTCCATTATTTTAATTCGCGAATTGAAGCATCATACCGGACTGTAAGGCTGTTTAACGGGTGAGGAGAAACGTCGTCTAATCAAGACCGCGAATTTAGTGTGATCACCAGTATTTAGTACTCACGGTTCGGCCCCCATGTAGAATTCGGATAAACCCGACCGCTGCTTCTTAAAGCACAGATAGTACTCCTGAGATGTGGTGAGCCAAAAGCTTCCCACGAAGTGACTTTCAAACGCTGGTCCCGCCTACATTTTGCGCAGAAGGGCCGGGTGTATAGGCGTGTAAGGATCGTGTCACGCGGCCTCCTAATCACGATTGGATCTAGGCAGCACAAGCCGATCGAAATCCCAGCTTATTAGTGATAGGCTAGATATCATCGTGACTCACGTAGTGGAAATTCGCTGCAGCATCCAACGTAGTGAACGGTAATAGATTGCGGCTTTCGTGCAACAACGAAGCGGAGCATTAAGGGCGCCTTTAGTACCGTAGGTGGGTCTGCCTATTGTCGTTAAGTGAGGGCATAGATTTTGAGACAGATGATAGTGTGTTGCTACAGCTTACGTCGGAGAACGTATTGGCCTCCTCACCAAAAATTGATTGAATACGAAATCCATCAGAGGCTTGGCGAGATTAACGACGATACGTAAGGGAGAGAAATAATTAGCAGGTACAGTTTTAGGAGCAGGCACCGCAGACTCCGTGTAGTGAAAAGATACTAAGTGCTGTTGAGTTTTCACTCTGGCGCAAAGTCATGAAAAGACAGAAGATAGTGAGAATTATTTTTTGGTGGGGATGATGTGACAGGGTACGTGCGGTAATTTTGCGTTTATAAAGGTATCCAAGTGTCGATGTTATGAAGACAATAGACTCCTTGAAGGAGAGATTCGTGGTCCACCTATGCTGAGCCCCGCGTCGCTCAAAACAGATACTTACTAACGAGAACCGTCACGCACATAACCAACAAATACTGTACATACATCACGCATCGTACTTGCAGATCTTCACACACATTTAGACAAACATCCCAGCTGCCACACACTTTTTTGTAAATATGGCGTTATATTTGATTTTAAAACGCCGCATTCAGTAGTATCGGCACTTTGGTCTTTGATAACTGTCTGAGAAAAAGGACTTGTCTAAGTTGGTATCGAGTGAGGTTTCGACCAGACTCGCTTCGTGCTTTACTTCGAAAAAAGCTTTGATAGCGTACTTGACAGCGAGGCCCATTACATCGTCGCTGAATTTTTAAACTGGCGTAGCTGAGTGTGCGTGGCTCGAATTCGTTCACGTGGTACAAAATTTGTCAAGTACGCTCATGCTTTTTTGACACTAGAGATCAAGGCTGTACTCACCGTTGTATTGTTCATATCTATAGTTTGCGCGAGGTGATGCATCAAAAAGATGCATCTTTCTTCGTTGGGTAGATTGGTGGCTAAGATATGTACTTCCCTAGTCCTGATGGATGGGAGCTTTTGAAGCGACCACGACCATTGTACATTTGCAGCTGTAGAGATACATTAACGAATCGTGTCTGCTATTAAAACGAATATTTTTAGCTTGTCTCGAACAGGACCTTTGATACAATGCCGCTCCAATTTTTGGATGACAAGGCAGTTCTCAAGTAACCTGGCGATCATATATTACATTTTAATTCTTGGAAAACAAACTATACTGATTTTGGTGTTTAAAGCGACATTCCTTAATAATCGCTGGTGATACTTGCCGGGAGGGGTTCCGAAGCCAAACTCCTCTTTGTACTCTGATCGCTTGACTAACTTAATCTTTAAGATAGTGTTACGGCGCCCAATAAGTCCAACCTACTGGGTCCATGCTAGTAGACTGGCAGAAGTATTTACGTGCGAACAGTGCCAAATATTAAAAAGATGAATGACGAAACAGCACTTGTACGTAAACTAACCCCGTATGGACCACTAGCAACTCGGTATTCACATCCACAAGTTCAATTGAGAATCTCGTAGGTCTTACAGATTTAAAGTTTGAGAATTATTCGAGAAAGTTTCTCGTCTGGCGATGCAGGGTGAACATAACGCAAATGTGCTCGCTCACCTTGATAGGCTAGTCAATTCGGCAGGTGAGATATTACACACTCCTAGGCGGATCTCGACTTCCATGACCACCGTCCTGTCGTCCAATTGAAGCAATACCTTTTATGGACAAATTGTGTACGTAGTAGCAAAATTTCTATTAAACATAATCCTAGAAATCATACAGATAACTTAATCGCTTAGCTGCCCTGATTGTTATGAAGTGGTGGTAGCACCTTTGCATTAGCAGTCAATGATGCATTCAATCCACTACGTTCACTGCGTCTTCGCTGCAATGCAGTAGGTGGATCAAAAGTTTGAGTTTTTCCACGTGCCTTTGAAGACTGTGTAGCATTTATAGAATTGAATGACTGCTGCATCTGAACGTGCGGTTTCAGCACTTGCAGTAATCCAATGTTAGGGCTTCGTGCAAATGTTTTGTTGTACATCTCTTCACGATTCAAGAGCTCACGCTTAAAGTAAGCCATTTCATCTAACGTCTTTTGCACCAAAGCATCCTTTTCTTCGACAAGACGCTCAAGCTCCACGATATGAGCTACGTCTTCGGATCGACTTTCTCGTCGAGCATACTTTTCCTGCCAATCTATGATCGTTTTTTTAAGCTCTGTGATTTGATCCAGCATAACACGTTGAGTCTCGTGAAATTGATCGCTCAGTTTCTTAGTTTCACTCAAGTTTTCCTCCAGTAATTTATCCATTTCATACTTCGTAGCGGCTTTAATGGTCTCAATCTCTTCACGTGACTTCTGTTCCAAAACAGCAACTTTCACTGTCATCTCTTCAGTCTTTGCTGTTAAAGCAGCCTTCAAGTCTTGGCTTTCTTGCATTGCACTAGCCCACTCAAGCCTTTTTTTGGTTAGCGATTCAGCAGTTGCCTCTAAACGTTCACGTACTTCTCCATACTGCTTGTCATATATAGTTTGAGCTTTTAAAAGCGCTTCAGATCGCTCTTCGTCTTTTTTAATGATCATTCCAGCGAGTTGCACCGCAGCGTCAGCCTTTACAGTCACAATTGCACGTTCTTTAGCATCAAACATCGTTGTTTCCATCTCCTTCAAATTTTCAGCATGTCGTTGCGTAGCCGTATCAAGTTCATGTCGATGGTCTGATACTATGCGTGCAAAGTCCAGATCAGCCTTCGCCTGAAGACTTGTCAGCTGAGCTTGCATTTCGTTTCGAACGCACATTTCCACCTCATGTACGTATCGGGAATGGTCTAATTGAAGCTTATCTCGCTCTTGTCGAGCTTCGAGCTCAGCACGAGCACGTTCAGCTACTGTCTGCTCGATAGAACGGATCATAGCACTACAAAAATCCTCTTGTTCAAGTCTCCTGACCTCATCCATAACTCGTTGCATCTCGGCCGCTTGCTCTGTAGATGCTTCAAAAGTTAGTCTAACGACTTTAATCTGCTCTTGCAGCTTCGTAATTTGTGGTTCATACAGCTCGCGCATCATTTTTTCTTGTGCGCTGAGCTCCTTTAACCTCTGACTTTCTAACATTTCAGTAATATTTTGCAATCTAGTTGCTTGGTCTTGAGTCATTTGGCGCAGAATATTCGAGTGTTCTTGTTTGATCTGATTCACCTCTTTGCTTAAGGATTCGACTACCGATTCATGCTGAGATTGACACTCATGAAGCTGCTTTTGATGTGCTGCATCCCGCTCTTTTTGTAGTTTCGACGTAGACAATTGCAACGCATCATTACTTGACTGTAGGAATGAAACCTGCTGTTGTGAGCTCTTCAACTGCTGACTCAACTCTTCGTGCTGCGTCTGCAAGGCTGTCAGCTGATGCGTACCAGTGGCAACTTGACTTTGTAGCACGTTAACTTGCACTTTAAATGCGTCAATCTCTTTATTAAGTTTTGCCTGCAGAGTCTTTGCCACTTCGTCGTGCTCACTTACAATTTCTTCGTGTTTTCTCGTCAGCGCTGTAATCGTTGCATCGAGCGATTGATGCGAAGCCTCATTTAATTGTTTTTCCATTTGGTCCAAGTGTTTTGCTGCTTCAACGCGATGCTTCTCCATTTCAAGCGTGTGAGTACTTACTAACTGCTGTAGTGTTTCCTTGTGGGTTTGTTCGAGTGCTTCCAGCGCTTGGTTATGAGCAATGATTGCTTGTTGTAATTTAAGTTGCACAGCCTCCAACTCTTGCGTTAATTTCAATGTATTTCTTGCGTCGTCCGTCTGTATCGTTACCATCTTGTTGTGCGTAGCTTTGAGCTCCGTTTCGAGCGTTTGAATCTGCTGCTGACCGGCTTTGATCTCCTCGGTAGCTGCTTGTATATTATGATTGAGACCAACGACCTGCATCTCGTACGTCTGCAGTTGCTGGTTCAGGCGAGCTTGAGTTTCAGATGCAGTAGCTTTGTACGTAATAGCCTCTTGCTGTAATGTCTCTATCTCTCTCTGTGTTTGGACGAGACCTTGCTCTCGTGTGTGCAAGCTCTGCTTTAGTGTTTCAATCTCCTGAGCCATCTCATTTCCTTGATTCTTACTCACAACGAGCATGCGCTGTAGTTCCTCTGAGTGAGCAGCGGAATCCTGACGCTCACTGAGCACGTCTTGCTGTAATTTAGCCATCTGCGCCTCCAGCTGTTGCTTCGTCCAAGCAGCTTCTTGTTGACTTTTAACCAGCGTCTCGTTTTCTTGACATAGCATCGTCTCATTTGCACGTAGCGCTTCCATCTCAATTGAAAAGGCTTCGATCTTGGTCAGATAGTCGTGTTTCATCATGTCAAAAGCAGTTTGCGCACTCACAGCTTGAGTCACTCGTTGGCGCTCGTGCTCTGCTGCTGCATCCTGCTGTTGCTTCTCCCAATCCTTTTGAGCACTAACTAAATTGGCTTTTGATATTTCTTGAAGTCGAAGCTGTTCGGCAAGCATCTTGTTGTACTTTGAAGTCGAGATCGTCTCAAGCTGCTTCATTTCATCAGCATGTTTTATCGTCAATTCTTCAAGCCGAGCTTTGTTCGCTAGATTTTCTTCTTTCGACGTATTTTCAAACTCCTCCTTCATCGCTTCAGCTCGTTGCGTAAGATCTTTGACTCGATTTTCATATGCGTCTTGAGCACCCTTTACTAGAATCTCCAGTTCTGACACTTTTGCTTTAAACGCTTCTTCCGCAGCAACTTGACTAGCGTGTGTCCGTTGTTGCTGTTGCTTTGCTTCATTGATCAGTCGTTGTCGTTCTGCAGCATATTGATGCTCTCTCTGAGCAGTAGCAGTCGTCTGCGTTTGCAGTGTTCCGTGCAGCATCTTTATCTTGTCAGCTGCATCTTGTGTAATCTTCTGCAGTTCCGACGCATGTATTGATCGAATATGCTCCGTTTCAGCTTGATTGTCTTCATTACGGGTATTCAGCTGAAAAATCACCTTTGTAAGCTGCGCAATCTTCTTACACATTTTCAAATGCAACTCGGCCGCAGCACTTGTATTCATCATGAGCCCGTGACCAATACGTCGAGATTTGACGGCCGTGGTACTACCGAAACGGCTGATCTTAAGCTATTTTTCTATTAAAAGTAGACAGTCGGTGAAGATGATCCAGTTCAGCATCTTGCTTCATGCACTGTTCGGTATCGTGCTGCGAGCTTCTACCGTCTTAAGTGGAACATCGTTTCCAGGCGTAGAATATAACGTCGTAGTCGGCGAGCCAGCTCATGCCAGCAGCTACTACAACTTTGTGCCTAATGTTCTATACGACACCCAATACGTTCCTAGTAATGCTAACGACGGATTTTCAGACGCAACGAGCTGGTGGTCGGCCGGTGACGATGCCACTGAACAAGTTTTTTGGCAAGTGAATATGAGCAGCTGGGCGCCAAGTATCACACGGATGGTTGTACGATGGCACGGCTTCTTGTCGCCTAAAACCTACCGCATTCGTGTGTCATACGATGGTCGTGAATTCACGAGCGTCCTCGCCTTTGCTAATCTTTCTAATGCTTACGATCGAGTTGATAACCACACAGAAGGATTTGGACGTCTAATATCGAAGTTTAAATACATTCGAATAGTGATGGATGACCCAAATGTCTGTGGTGACCAGTTTTCATGTGTCGACGATGGTATCAGTGAGAGAACAATTGATACGAATGAGCGTGTGCTTTATGGCATTCGCGAGGTTGAAGTGTGGGCCAAAGGGAGGAGGAATGGTGCGTACAAGTACTTGTAACGATATTGCAAAGTGCTGATTATCTCGTTTTTGTCCTCAGGAGCAACGTCAAAATGGAGATTCAGTATCAAATTTCTGGTAGTTTTCATGATGGTCGTTATTTGATATGAAGATAGGATTCAAAAGAGACTAAAGGTTGGCACTTTCTATTAGAACACAGTTGAAAGTCACTCACTCATAGACACAGGCATCAGTTTAAGACGCGGACGCGCAAATTATCTGACGAAGGAGAACAAACGGCCTATACACACATTACACGCCCGCGTTTGAGCGAGTGAGTGAGGAACAAAGACTGCGGGTGTCCAAAGTCAGCGTCCAAATCCATCTACTCTCCTTCATCTGCATTATACGTACACACACTCAGTTTTTTCATTCGGTTCCGTCTTGATCAAGGCAGGTATTCCCAACGTTGTTCAGTCTTTGCAACCCAATGTACGGAACAAGACGTTGGAGCAAACACTTAAGGCTTAACTTAAAGTGCCGAGTCCTTGTCGATGGTAAAAATGCCACCCGACGCTTTCTTTGCTTTTGTGCTCCGTCGCTTTATGTAAATCGTGCCGACAATTGCCAGAGCGGCGCAGACGGCAGCGGCAGCAGCAACTGGTACGACCATAGACGAAGCGGCACCCGCGGCTTCGTCTTCCGATTTAAATTTAATCGCCTCGACGCTAAATGCTGTCTGTTGCTCAGTGGATTGGTCGGCAGTAGTTGCACCGGCATCTGAGTCGCTGGCAACAGAAGGCGATTTAGTAAGCACAACTTCCGAGTCTGCCTCTCCGTAGGCTGGAGTCTCCGGTTCCGAGTCGTCACTTCCGGCGGTAGAAAATTCCTTGCTGCATGAGGCAGTATCCAAATTGTTAGATGTACCAGTAGGGGTCTCAGGAGTCTCGGGAGTCGAAGGAGTTGCAGGAGTTTCTGGCACGTCAGGAATTTCTAGCTCTTGTTCACAAGGTTCCGAACCCGCCACATCTAATGCATCGTTGCAGTCCGATCCCGCAATGTCAAGTCCTTCAGAACAGTCGTCCTTACCAGCAATGTCAAGACCTTCAGAACAGTCGTCTTTACCAGCAATGTCTAACTCATCAGTACAGTCAGGTTCGCTATCTCCATTGTCAGTAGACGGTGTTTCGGGTGTGGGGCTGGTCGTGATAGTGGAAGTATCGGTTGATGGTGCATCTCCCTTGGTGGCTGTTGTGTCTGTTGAAGTATCGGTAGATGTGTCATCCCCTTTTGTGGCCGTGGTATCGGTAGATGTGTCATCCCCCTTTGTGGCTGTGGTATCGGTTGATGTATCGGAAGATGTATCATCCCCCTTAGTAGCCGTAGTATCGGTGGAAGTATCATCCCCCTTGGTTGCCGTTGTGTCTGTGGAAGTATCAGTAGATGTGTCATCTCCTTTGGTTGCTGTAGTGTCTGTCGACGTGTCAGTAGATGTGTCATCGCCCTTGGTAGCCGTCGTGTCTGTTGACGTGTCAGTAGGTGTGTAACTATCGGACTCGCCCTTGGTTGCAGTAGTATCTGTCGGAGTGTCAGCATCTGTTTCTCCAGTATCTGTCGGGGTATCAGTAGGTGCATCCCCTTTTGTAGCCGTTGTGTCTGTCGGAGTATCAGTAGGTGCATCTCCTTTTGTGGCCGTTGTGTCTGTCGAATCCCCGGTCGATGTATCTGGTGTTGTCGATTCAGGCGATGAACCCGTTGGAGTACCACTTGGTGATTCTGCTGAAGTAAACTGTTAATAAATGCAATAAAGATTCAATCAGGTTTCAAATCGTACCAGGTGTGTCAGGTTTTCCTGCGATGTCTAACCCTTCGTCACAGTCCGAGCCAGCAACGTCAAGTCCATCAGAGCAGTCGTCTAAACCAGCGATATCAAGTTCTTGGCTACAATCGTCAGCTTTTTCAGTATCGCCCGCAATCGGATACTCTTGGTCGCACGAGGCCGCGTCGTCGTCCTTGGTGCTCAAGTCAGCTGGTGAGTCGAGGTTGTCACTCCCGGCCGTGGAGAATTCTTTGCTGCACGAGGAATCGTCTGTTGTGCTTGTAGGTGAATAAGCCGCCGAGACGGTTCCAGAATCACTGGCGCCGGGTGTTAAATTTGGTTCAGAAAAGTCAATGGCGTTCACCTGCGCCGCACAGAACACGGCGGCGAGGAGAAGACTCTTCGCAACCTTCATGCCCTGCTGTTGTGGTCTAGTAGTGATGAGGCCTTCAGTCTCAATCAGGCCTTCTCACGTCAGTTCTCACGAGTGGAAGTCCAATTGCAGAATGACGAAGAAAGAGCGACGGGCGAGATTGGAGCCACAACTTTGACATCCTATGCTGGGAGCATTTGAGTGCAGAGAGTCAGACATGCTGTCTGGGTGCACAGCTGAATGGAGACAAATACTACCAGCTGCTGCCTACGAACACACGATCTGGTGTCGCTGAACGCTTTTGTATGAAGTTCAGCGCACATAGCGTCGGTATGGTCGTAAAAGAAGTACACGTAGAGTCGCGACGCCAGTACTGCCACAAGCGTAAGGCTTACATACGTTCAAGTAGATTTTTTGAAAAATTCAGGCTCATACTATAATGAAGTTGCTATACAATGAATCAATGTGATTGTATCAAACGTTTTCGTTCTATTTTAGCTTCCGTCGGAATTGAATGGTCCGGCCAAGAACTTGACGAATTTACATCTGGTAACATGTATACCAATCGAAGCCCCTTCATAGTAATGCGCTTCCATACGAGCAGTCGGCAGATGATAAAAGAAGTAATGCATACGTACAGATTCGAACCTTGAGCTTTGAAGTATGTAAATCATTGAATTAACGCTAAAGACTAAGCAGTTGCTCTATTTTATTCCTAGGATTTCCAAATGTTTTCCTGACATTCTACGTTCGCACATGTATTTGATTCGTGATTGAAGTCTTAAAGTCAAAACTTTCTTCATATACATCCTGGTGAAGTCGTTGTGTTTGCGCCTTAAATGCTATTTTAGTGTGTACATGAATGCGATCGCAAGTTCCAATTGTTTACCAACTATGAAGGAGTGAATGATTATACGCTCCAAGCAAAACCAACAATAACGTCAGCATGAACGTGCGTGCCTTGACAATGGAAGCTTTTTCACTGGAAATTGATGCTAAGTAACATATTAGAACGCACTGGACACTACCAAGTCTTTTCTTCCAACAAACATATCACTTTTGTAACTGTGATGCTACTTAGCTCATTAGGATGATGTGATGTGGTTCACAAACCTTCTCGATAACGAAGGTGTTGACTCACATATTGGGCTACACCTAGAACGTCCTCACCGTTAGTACGCGTGCACAACGCATAACATATCGCATAGCCATACCTACAGCGTGCGTTGAAAATCTTTTCGTCGACACGTTAATGGCTTGGCTATGGATTAACCAAACTTTAGAGTGGAAAGTCCTTGCACTTTGCACAGCACATGTACATTTTGTCCGGTCAATAAGTTCATGTCCTGCCTCATGGCACAATCCAAGCACCGACAATGCTGGGCACACAGAATTATCCATTGCGACGACTAACTTGGTCGTCGTGTCCAAAATGTTCTGTCTGCTTTGACCTGCAACGCTACGACTTGGCAGGCTATAGATCATTACGTCCGACGAAACACTTTTGTATATGTAAAAAATCATTCTATGCACAGGTTGAACGAACGATAGCGAAAACGATTGCTGCATGAGTTCTACATTGTATTAAAGTACAAAGGAAGCAATAGAATGTTGCGATGAAAAGCATCTTTTAGCGCCGTCACCTACGCGAACAGGAAAATCATCTTCGACATCGTCGATAAGCTTGATTCGTTTCCTATTCATTCATGACGAAGTGCGACGATGCGAACCCTGGATGTGATATCTTGTTCGAAAAATGGAAGAGAAATCATGCAGAAGGTCTGAACGCTTGTGTCAAGGGCAGTGGCACTTGATGATCTATTTTACCCAAAAATCAGATGGCGTCCAGAAAAAGTTTCGGATGTTAGAAGTTGTGATCAGCATTTGACGTCGCGATAATTCGGTTTCGTGGAATGTTTTTGAACACATGAGTCCAATTGCTCTGCTGAGCTTGATAAATATATCAGTAATTGAGATTCGAGATCAGCGTCTTCTCCGATTCTCGAAGCAATATAAAAAATATTGGAGTTTCGATGAAATATTGGTAAAAGTCACTTATTCGATCTTCAATTTTCGCCTTTTTTTGGCTTTGCTGATTATCCCGCTTATTCAAGTACTAAAATATCGATTTTCGATATATTCTAAGAAATTTGAGATATCACAGCGGCTGCTGACGTGATTGCTGCTCAAATCATTTCGGGATTTAAGTGTCAAAGAGGAAGTCTTGAGTGCATTCCGACTGAGCAAACAGCGGCTTCGTGCAATTTAAAATAGTATCACATAAACTGCATCACGAAAAAGAAAAGCTTTTCGCTCATTTCTTCGTCTCGAAAATAGCTTAAACAGTGATGCATTTAAAGCGTCATCATTTGCATTGTATCCATGAAAGTTGCACTCTTGCGGAGCACTTCGAAAGCAATCAAATTTACCCTCAAATCCAGTGCAAGGATCCTTTCATTCGCTGCGGTAGTCGCGTGCTACATATCTTATAATCTCGGATTATAAGATATGTAGCATGGTAAAATGAGCCAAGCGTCATCATCGCTCGACAAAATTTTAAACATGCTGTAGAAAATTGCGCTTGTTAGTGTCTCATCTTTACCTCACTGGGTTGATCGACCCATTTGTCGGACGTAATGGCTTCCTGAAACAGCTTGATTCTTACCAACTTAACGATCACATCATAAGCAAAGATCGTGTGTCGTACACCAATGCAAGTTTGGACATTGAAAATTTCTAGAACGGGTTCAACTATTGAGACCATGCCTGTTATTTGTCTTGGTAAGACAATGGTGTCAAGGTGGAAGTGCCTGTGAGAAGTTTTTATCGTGAATGTTAGTAAAACAACGTTGATAGCTTACTCAGCTCACGTAACACTGTTATTAATCACTGTTTCGGCAGAAACGAATGCATTCTTTGTTTGTTCGGAGCAGCTGGTCGGCCGCCACATGAGCGATTTATATTCTTGATATCTTAAAAAGTTAGGATGTCTGTCAATTATATTTGGTAACCAATGAACGACCTTATCTAGGCTTGTACTGAGTGAGATATGTCACCCGACTGAGTTCTCATCTGGATTCTCAACCGGTTTGTGCTAAACACTGGTGTGACATCCATTGGATTTTTGCTTTACGCCGAGCATTCTTGAGAAGGTCGTGTTTTTTCTCTTAACGCTTTCACAATGTCTCGTACTCGTATTCGTCCGCCAGATATCTTCACTGTCTTCGGCGACCTTGAAGTTGTGGCATAGAATCAAACTCAATCATATCGTCCATAGCTATCAATCACAGAATGTTGCAGCCCTACGAGAAGTTGTTAACATTTATGGAGTGTGGAACGGCTCTTAAGTCTTTAAAATAATGAGAATTGTTTGTGCATTTCCACACTTTGAATGTCTTGAACATCGGCTAGGACGCAACAGCGAATACTTAACTAATGTGCGTTATGTGCCTGCCCTGCGTGATCGTAATGTGTATGTATACGGGCGCCACGAGACACTATTTTACCTCGGACACAAAGTAAAGCTTTTGTAGAGTCTATGCTGATCAGTAATTGTATCGATCGGAATAACATTATTCCGTAAGATGCGGTGGCCTCATCGTGAACAAGATGTAGGTAAACGGATATATTTGAATATCAGAAAGACATCCGTTTCTATATGGATGTCTTTCGAATCTCTTTTTTCAGACATAGCACTCTCAGTTTTGAGCAGAACATTGATTACTAACAGTTCTTTTATTCGGCATTCGGATGTCGGTGAGTCAAGCCACGCGTGTTGGCAAGTGTGGGCTAATCCTCGGTGAGGTTGAAGCATGATACATTCACGTATTTATCCTCAGGCCAACAAATCACGCTTAGAAGCTTCTGTCGTTAGAGGATCTTGTGAAGATAAAACAGTGCGTAGCCCAAGGTCCGGAAGCGGATAGAGCTCGCCTGGATATGCTCACCAGCTATGAAAACTCAGTTGGAAGTCTGCGCAAGCAACCTGGCCTCCGCATAGCTCGATCGAGTGAGGCTGCTAAACTGCTAAGCTCTGGATGGGTATAAATTTTCACTAGATACGAGAGTTTGAATTCAAATATAGATGATGGTAATATTTGGCTCTGCTCATGTTTGGGGAACAAAGCGTCGCGCTGGTGGCTTTCAAGCTCGATGTCCGCGCTTAGAAATGGATACTTGCATGTGGAACACCTGTACAGGATGCATTTTTCGTCACTCGAAATATTGAAACATTAAATGTTGCATGTTTTTGCCCCGCCCAACCGGGACTCCTAAAGGAACATTCGTAGAATTTATCCAGCAGTCAAGAGCTCTATCAACTGAGACGGTAGTAAACTCTCTGTCGGAAGCGACAGCATTTTCAAGCATTGCGTTAGTGTGGATAATCGTCAAGATTGCAAAACTTTTGCTTTCAGTATCAGATAGCATGCAGAGTATTGTAAACACCGAATATGGACATAATATAGCAGCGACACTTGCAATAGCGGTGTTCCTTGTGGAACTTTTGAGCCCTTTGATAGCGTGGAACATTGTATAGTACTAAACCTGAATTCAGAGTACACTCATCCCTTGTTTTGGCGTGGCTGCAACTCCATGAACCATGGATTAATTTGGCGCCACGAGTTTTGCTGTTTTGGTGGGCTCTGCACCTACCTCTACTAGATAACAAAAATACCTTCGTCGCAGGGATGAAGCTGCAACAGCCTCAGTAGAATGCCTGAAATAGCAGCACGGATCAGAAAGAGAAAGTAGCAGTGGGACACACTCGCTCCTAACCTACAAACGCAGAATAAGCGACTTTCTGTCGTGGGTTTTGAAGTGTATCCTGGAATAGACAGATGAGACTTGCTGTTAATTGTTCCCTTTAACTAGTTAAAGTTTTTATATAATCAAATGTGAGTTGCGATCATTAGCGTTTGATCCCTCAAAGATGAGTTGTAGCGGCTGACTATTGTGGTCTCAAAGCTTCGCGGGTTTATGGCAAGCAAAGATATACATTTGTGAATAAAGTCATCGAGGTGTTAGTTATCGTTCGATTGCCAAGCAGAAGCTTAAGTAGTATAATAAGGTAAGGCGATGACATCCTTGAGTTGGTATGGTCGGTTACTCAGGAGAAGCTACGCTCTTCGTCCATGATATGAGTCTATTAGTAGACGCACTGAGAAAGTCGTCGAGGGTATATACATTTTTTAGGGATTCTAGGGTTTTCTTTGTTAAGGAATCACCGCGAATTGTGCTAAGAGACCCGCTCCAGCCGCTTTTCCCGGATCGAAAAGTGTGACATGCAATTGAGTTGGTCATTTGAGCCGAATATTGCGTCACATCCCGATAGATCTTACGAAATGAACATTGCGGCGCCACAAGTGTTTGTTCACTGAAAGCACAAAACTGTTTCTACAAACAAAAGTAAACCCGGCGCCAACTTTTTGTCTATTGGTTAGCGGCAAGCGACGAATTCTGTGAATGATTCCAACAAGCCGAATCTAGTCATCATTCCGACTGAAATATGATGTGTTGGGAAAAAAATATCAGCTGCAGTATATATGTGTTTTTGGTCTGTTTGCATAATTAAGCCAAATAATGTCTTCGCAGTATTAATACTCCGAGTGAACGTTATAGGAGTCTCTGGTTATGCAGCAGGGGCTTCCTAACGTACCAGCGATGTTCGACCGTCCATTAAAGCTGTAAAGGTCCCATCGTACACATACACAGGTCTGCTCTTATCCGTCCATTGACACGCAGGGAACGAGAGTTGGATGTGGATATCCCTAACAAACATTTGGAGCAGTGCCCGTGTGTATCCTCGTAAATTAGCAAGTTGTCTACATATACAAATCGATCTTTGATGTCCATCAATTTCTGAATAATTACATTAAGAAGCATGGCCTGCATCCAAATCGTACAGAGAAGAAGGATTTATTAGATTGCACTTTTTCTATATCTAAAAGATAGTATGGGGTACTTTGGTCTGACCAAATACTTTTTGGTCGGAAGCGATTTGTAGTACATAAGTACTAGCGTCATTGGAAATTTTAAAACTCAAAATGAAGTGGTCGTTCACCTAAAATACCGCAAGATTTATTATCTATGGCGCAAGCCTCAACTTGAGCAACTACCATCGGAAAATTAGGACCAGTAACGCTTACTGTCACATCATAGAATAAAAGCGCGCTCGTCTTACTACCACAGACATCCACTAAACCGAAGTTTTCATTTCCTTAATTTGCTGTTTGAGACTATCATGAAATAAACATAACGGAGCAGAATCGCAGGCGACGTTCTCGCTTGTGCTCCCGAAACAATGGCCCTACGAGCCCAAAGAAAATGCATTCATCACTTCCGACGCTCTCATAAAAAAGTTCCCGCTAAGGATGTCGGAATGTTCTCCGATCACAATGGCTGCAGGATTTGTCAAATCCTGACTCGACTACGCTATCACTTCTCAAAACTACCGTCCACTCTTATAATAGCAGCGCTTAACGCAATCCGTATCGTCTACTTATGTACCATGTGTACTGGAGAGTGTCGATGATCAACAAATTCCTTTCGCGCACTTGAAAAGTAAAAAAGCGCTTGTTTGCTGCTCTGATGGCAATATAAGCCAGCTTTTGAAAAGCAGGGGACCGACTTAAGCGTCGACTGATGCTTTAATCTGCAAAGCACATAACACAACATGGAGATCAATACAATAAATCATCACCTCTATGCTCTGCTGCTACAACGCCGTTTGTCCGCATGAAAAGCTATATAATGCCAAGAACTGAGTCGATCAGCACTCGCTAGTGATAAACGTGCCGCGATGAATTAGCCTCCCTATTTTGTAAGAGGTCCAAGCCGATGGTGCATTAAACTGTAAGTGACCCCGACATCAGGGCAACCTGCCGAGTGAAATCTAAAACCCCCATGAATTTTGCAGAGTAAGATGCCCCTAATTTTGTAGCTGAATCTGCCACGCGCTGGCTCGCCATACACTCCACTTAATGTGGGGCGCCGCTTGCTCCTCGACTATTTCCAGTCGATAACGAATCCTCGCGACTGGCTCTCAAACTTTTCGGCTGTGGTGGTACGTCGACTCTGTCCGAGAATATCAGCGTGCGTTTGAAGTTGAGATGAATCAGGCTTTCATTTGCTTTTTCAGCTTCATCGTGCTGTGTGGCTTGAGGAACTTTTGACGGTTAGGGATCGCGTCGCTATTCTAGAGCAAATGGTTGCTCAAGTAAATAAATTTGGTGAAGACGTAGCTATAACTATCATTAAGTGCTTTCAAGTCAATCAATTCGTGATCGCGGGATCGTGATATGGCTGTGACAAGCCCGCATAAAACACAGAATATGTTTTCAGCCTCTTTTGGTATCTAGAGATAACTCAGTTCCATTTCCTGGCCATCGCAAATGATCCGATGTAGCGCGCTCGCAAAATAGTCATATCGACCACAGTCACTGCATGTATGGTAGATTCTTGCGTTTGTAATAAGATTTTTCCCCAAAACATATTCATGTGTGTATCGCATACTTCTGGGTCGCAACCTACATCCGAGCTCTCAGCCATAGCGTCGGTCACACAGCGCATGCCGTCATTCTCGACGAGATAAAGCTGAATTATGTTACAAAGTGTGCCCGATTATTTTCTCATCCCAGCAATACCTAAGCCACAATTTGGCGTTGCCAAAAACACTTGTAAATTATTCAACCCATGTGAAGCATTGAACTAAGTATGGGTGTGTGCATTGTACAAATAAACCCCAAATTGATAGACCGCCAGCAGGCTACCAAAATCGGCGGGCTGGTGAGAGTCTCCGACGCATGCATCATGGGTTAGCCCAGTTGACACGATCAATACGTGCACACAGTCGTCCTATCTCGCTTATATATGCTAAACTTCTAGTACATACCACGTGAACCACGTGTCTCTCTTCATCCAACGTGTGACTACCTAAAGGCGTTGTGGGCCAGCGCGGCAACCTTGACAGGTAATTGCCGTCTTCATCGGGAGGTACCAGCAGGGTTAAGAAAAAACTTGGTCAGTGTTGTAGTTTAAAAAAATGGAATGGCGGTGCAAACCTGCAGCGAAATGATTTAATAATGCGGCACATAAGTTTATATTTACTCTCATTTTGAAGCTTTAGGCAAAGCATGCTGCGTCTGGCCCGAATTCTATGCGTATCACTTCATTGATCAGCGACGTATATTTATCGGAGTTTACTTGGAGAAACGCAATTGCGCATTCGCCACCAAATTGAGCCATCTCGGTTCAAGCATTTCCCCGAAGGTATACTAGCCAGAAAGTAACTATTAAAACTTCTAAAGAGGGACGCAGTGATGACGTCACTGTGAGCAGCGATGGACGGTCAGTAGAGATTACAAATGGCTTTAGCCAAGCTGATGCGCCTAAACTTGACAAACGCATGCTGCAAATTAAGTAGCTCCTAATCATCAACTAGGCATTCATCTTTGTCACTTGAAGAGAAGACTTCAACGGAACCATGCATTTATGCCCATTCGCATCCTGTTCCCGCGGTAGACTGGATTTCAGTGCTGCGAGTTGATGGTCAGACCAAGCCACTAGCTTTAGTTCTTTTAGAATAAGAACACCGTCCAGCCATAGCTGGCTTTACTCCTTACCAAATTCCATTCTGTTCATAGAACATCCAAGAAAAGATTTCATCGGCGTCAGTTACACACTTGTCTATGATGAAAAACAATATTTTAGAAGCACACACCAAAGCACTGCTCGCACGTCATATCTACATCCGGATTTTCAAGTTTTGCTTGATCCTCAATGATATATGCAATCAATATAAATCTCTGCCTATGACAAAACATAAACATCCGTCGCAGTTTATACGATATTTGCCCGATAGACAGTCATTGAGGTATAATAAGTCTTGCCGGAGCGTCCTGTTCGGATTGCCCACCGCGGCGAGAGAGTTATCGCTTGCTAACATGTGCTGCAATTAAAAGTAATAATGTAGTCTTTGTGCATAGCGCAAGACGCAGCAGATCGTGCTGCTTTTTTCTAGAAACTGTCGTATGTGCTAGAATAGCAATTGCATATTACCCAGAATAAACATGCACATTTTTTTATTTGCGTTGGTCAGTCGACACGCCAAGATCGACGCCGAGTGAATAGATGTGCTTTATTCCACCGAACCTGTTACGGCTTCCCACGGAAGGAAGCGGCGAGATTCCGCCTATGCTCTAAGTAGAGTCAACTGACAATGATAGGATAATAACGCCCAGAATTGATCAAGCTCCGACTCAAATTCCAATTCGTCGGCTACATGCACAGCAAATCTTCGGCAACACGTCACCTTAATTCATTTGGAAGAAATTTACAGTTTCGTCGCTCCATTCTACGTACTCTGCAAATGTCCTAAATCATGGATCTATACATGACACCATATGATCACTGGCTCCAACAGCATTACCTCGGAGAATTGAAAGTCTTGCGATTCATAGTATATGTTTTCTAAATTTTACTTTGTAAGTTCAGCGAGAGCACCTATCTGGGGTAACGAGGGGAGACTTACATTTCCAAAGATGATTCCGGATTTCTTAATCCGGAGTCAGAAAAATTTCCTCGCCCGAAAACCGTGGAGTTCCATTCTCCACACGGTGAGTTCATAACACTGTATTGTTGCCTTAGAATTACCGTTACAACGCGCCATAAACTCAATATCATCACGACCTGATTCTCTTACTCGCAATATTTGCGATTTACATCTGCTATTTCACACCACATTTGCAATGAAGATAACACAACTAAGCCGCAGCGGGTTGCCTTCACGAATGCAAAGCGGCATACAGGCGCTTTTTAACCATCTCAACAAAAATGCTATCTGAGGCTTCAAGTGCGTCATCACTTGTATCCCAGATGACAGATAATTGATCATCTTTTGTTCCCCCCACCCAAATGCGCTATCATGTAGAACGGGGGTTCTCGAACATCATGCAAACAAGAGCCTTCAACTCAAGACTTCCGCGGTAAAGGGCACGCAGAGCATGGGCTCGTACGGTGCGTCCAAGGGCGAAAAAAACATGTATAATTGCTGGGAGCCCACGTTGCTCTTTGATTTCGGGATTGACATATCTTCAAATAATGCATTGTTTAACTGATAAGTCTCCAAATATAATCATATGCACAGTCCAGTGTGAGGCTAGCGGCTCACGTGTCTGAAAATTCTCTCCGTTCCAGGTCCTAACACGCTCACCCGCGCCATGATCTTTGTCTCTGTTTACTGATGAACTTGTCCTTAAGTTTGTTTGGCAATCGTGACAATAAATATATCGTGGTTACGTGCTGTGTTGCTCAAAAGCGTCTGACCTTTTGTCCTCGACAAGAAACCTCTCCGACTCTTCTCAACAGGGTCAAGTTGTGAGGACAGTCGTACCTTCGTACCACCAGAAGCTATATTTGAGGATTTAATCAGCAAGTTTTAAGCGAAAATAGCCAGGTAGACCGTGCCAAATGCTCTATATTCTCCGTCTCATCCGAATACCGCAGCTCACGACCGCCTTCGCCGTCTAGCTCTGCTCCTAGTAATGCCCATGATGAAACAGTGCCGAGGCCAATCGTTAAAAAAGGCCCCTGCACCAAAGCTATTGCAACATCATATCCGCGACAAAAGCACTTCTGTTTTTTCGGCTGAAACTGGTATTAGGCTCATCAATACAGATGTATTATGCACAAATATGCATCGACTTCTTATCTATCCATGGCTTGCGACGTTTCAGCCGGATCATCTCTAAAATGTGATCGCATTCGCTCTAAACAACGGTCCACGCTGTCAAATACATAAATTCATCACTAGACTAAAGTAACTTTCGACGCTTAAACGAGTGTGTCCATGTTGCGAGACGCACGGATATTGTATCATAGTCACATTCGCTACTATTTCAACAGTAGTTCATCGCACATATTTGCAAGACGCAGTTGACTACACCAGTTTTTTATTACCGGTGCGTTGATCTCAACTGCAAACAATAAGCTTAACCTCTATTAAAGAGTATCGCCGCCTTTAGGACTGGGCCCCATTTACCTCGACCTCAACATGGTACAGAAGAGCTAAACATTCTATTCACGGTGGGATAAGCTGATTTGCTGAGGAGACACGTTGGGCGTCAATGTCTGCAATTTGTCACCCGCGGGTTAGTGATTAGCACCTAGACTGGCTGAGACACACCGCATATCTTCCAGCGCCTCAACTGACCCTTAAAAATCTAGAGATGTGTGTGGAATAGAAGCCTACGTACACCTTTTCGTCACTCGTAATTCGTGCCTAATACAAGATAGCTGTACTTCAAGGCTCCTTTACATACAGTTTGGACCTCTTAGCTTTGTCGACATGTACAAATCCGCGCACTGACGTGCGGCACTTTGGTCGAAGCTGCTGTTTCAAGAAAACATTAATCCGGTATAAATTCTATACAAATAAAAACTTCTTTTTTAAATGGTGAAATTCTCTAACGTGCATCTATACTCCAGTGTAGGCTTCACTCCTGTGAAATTAAGGCCGTCAGTTCTCAGCAAGGACTGACGTCGTGATTGTTCGACGACAGTAATAGATTACATTATGTTGTCTTCTACAGTTTCAATGATATGTAGGTGTAGGTAGCTATGTAACTACTCAAAAAGACCTCAGTAACCACGTTTGCTACACAGCCAAGGAAACACGTACCCAAACTATATTAGAAAGAGCAATGATGCAAATTATAATGAGGAGACGTTCAGAATAACTCTGATTCATATTTGCCTGTAAATGGCTTCGAGTTGCTTCCTATTGATTTCATCTTCTAAGCTGCGGCCTTATTCTTAGGCCGCACTTCTGAGTCCTGCACCGTGTGTAAGAAGATGGAATCGTTTGGGTGACTATAAAACAAATCAATAAAAATATCAGCCCATCAATGCCATCACTCTATATCTACGCCAGATTAACGTACTCTTTCTCTCCTTGTTCATATGTGTACGAGGCCGCGATAGCAAGCACTGATCCGTCATGATTGAAGTCCATAGCTGCAATGCTAGTTGGATACTGCCTCAGATGCGTAATCCTTTTCTTATTAGCGCCGTCCCATAAGTTTACGATACCATCACATCCTCCTGTCGCAAACGTTCCATAGGTCGGATGAAATGCAATACAATTTACGGGGTACACGAGTGTTTGCTCGTCCACTTTGCCACGATGGCACTTGAAGGCATAACTACGTTTATGACTGGGATCGTCATCGAAATATTCCAAGGCCACGCGACCCTCTATAGAAGCTAGCGCATACCCTGTGAGGTCAGAGAACACATTGACACAGCGTAGCTGATACTTCAATGGGCTTTCTTTACTAACGAGTGGCTGCGCTAAGTTACGGAGATCAAATACGGATACTTGTCGCTCGGACGTAGCAACCGCCAGCATGTGACGTCGCACGTCAAGACCAAACACTTTCCCCGGTAGCTTTGACTCATGAATTTGTGCATTGTTCCCATTGCGCACGTCGAAAACCCGCACAGCGCCATCCCATCCGCCGCTGACTATCAGCCCTAGCTCAGATGAATAACCCACTCGTCTCACAGCTGCCGCGTGAGTACTAAGTTGTGTCACATGCCGCGTATTGAGGTCGATTTGCTTTAAGGTGCAGTCCAAGCCACCTGCAAAAGCTTCGACTTCCGTTTGGCCGTAGCAACAACTCAAAATGGGCGATCCTAACTCCAAGCTTGAGCGCTGTCGCAAACCGTCATACACACGCAGCGTTGCATCCCACGAGGAAACAAGAAGCTGTGATCGTGTTCCAAAGCGCAAGCATGAGACGCCATCACTTGGAGGCGCCAGCACCTCTACATCCTGCGTTGACATTTCAAGGAGTGTTTGTCGACACTGTATCTCAGCATTCAGAAACCTCTTTAATTGCATATCAATGCTGCACATGTGCTTTTCAACATAAAATTACCGCGTCCGCAATGGAAGTCAGGCGCCGCCGCCGTATATTCTGTACTCTTTCACGCATGCAAGTCACAGGATCAACTTCTTTCCTCCAAACGCCGCAGTGGGAGCGTCATCATCTCCGCACGGTGGCTGATTTACCAGCATCCTTGGCTGCGTCGTTGGACGCCGCGGACTCTCGCGATTACCAACGCCAGGCTACCTTTCATGGGCGCCGACAGAGCTTTGTCGTCCTTCTACGTGATATTTACGGACTTTTGGATAGCGTTGAAAGAGATCGGCGGAAGCTGCGACTGCTACTTCAGGAGCTTGTGCAGCGGCTTTTGGACCCGAATGGCGTCCACGCTGAGGACGACGGAGCCACATCTGCTGAGAATATAAATTGCTATGTGGTGATCGAGCGGGAAAATTTTCTTCGTTTAGGTGGTGCTGAATGCCTACTATGTGTACTGCATGCATTTCGACAGGAAGAGAAAGCGATGAAGAAGCAACTAAAGCGCGGCAGCGACGTCCGCGCCCTATGGGAGACACCTATGCCTGTAACTCTTGCACCTACTAAAAGTGGCACGAATGCCTCACTTCGAAAGCATGCTCTTAACGACACGATGGCGATTTTACGAGAGCTTTGTTATTTTTCGTCAAACCTAGCTATTCAACTCTGCGATAAAGACGGCCTAGTGGTGTATTTATTTCAGCTAATGGGCGACACACGATATTTTGACAATGCATCTGGACTTGTAGAGGAAATTCTGGCTGTCAGGGACGAAGCTTTTGATCTGACTCGTGTCCGTACGTGCATTAAGAGATCGTAGATGACCACCCTTTGTGATGCTGATCGTGCTTTGATGCTACAGCCAGCTTTCACACTGTCTTACAGTCGCTATCTTCGAGGCAACTGGCTTTTTTTTGTCGCGTTCTTGCACTGGTTGTATTTGAGCCTGAGGACCGAAGGCTGTTGGAAAATGCTAGTACGTAAATGCTTGCAGTATTTCTGTCCATATAGTGAGTGCTGAACGTTTGGCTTGCCTGCTTAGAGGTTATTAAGTCGCTAGAGCTACTGAAGCTACGTCGTAACCGTATGATGCGTGCAGACAACATCGTTGACCGCAACCACGCGCTGATATACAATTCGCCCCTGGTTTTACAGCGACTGCTGCATGTATTACAGGTTCAGAACTTTTATTTCGCATTGAACTCAGTGTACGAGCCTTTTTCATCGGAACTCGCTACATCGGCCGAGTTTGCCACACTTCTTTACCAAACGAGCGATCGAAGCGACTGGGACTCGATCGATCGTCTTGTCACCCATCCAGCGCTTGAATCTTCTGGGGATCTTACTAATTTGCACAGACATCACCAGACCGGAGCAACGGCGAGTACTGATGAAAGAGATTCGAACACAAGCTCACTGTTATACCCACACCAGCACTCGTTCTCGGTAGAAACAGCAACTCTACGAGAATTGATATTCCGTAATCGATCGCCAGACCAACGCACGCGGGACGACGTCGAGGCTCAGGTTGTCATTAAGTCGATTGTACTGGCTCCGTACCGCGTCGAAGTCCTTTTTGTTCTCTGCACCTTGTTAAATGGCAAACGTAAGGTAGATTTCCAGGAGCGACTTGCGGGGATGGGACTTGTTAAAACACTTAACATAATGTTTGACAAATTTCAATGGATCACTTCAGTGGCATCCACTCCAACCCATGAGCCACTACACGGACCCGGCTGTGATTGCAGTCTCGATGCATCGTTAAAAATCCAATTTTTACGACTGATCCACAACTTCTGCGATCGTGATTACAGCGACAATTCTAGCAAATTGCTGCTTCTCAGTGAGCACGAGATTCGGTTGATGAATGAAAGTGGCTCATCGCCGATAAACCTCGAGCACACAGACAAAGGATTGTTGTCAAAGATCATCGTTGCTCTTAATGAGCAGCCAGCTGACTCCATATATCGCTTCTGGCTGGCGTCATGCGTGGAAGCTTTTTTAAGACGCGCTGCTCCGAGTGAGCAGCTCTTTGTAGCACGAACACCCTTACTACAGGCACTTATAGCGGACATTCTAAGTGGTGGCGCATATCGCTCTCAGGGCAGCTTTCAGTCAGCCTTTGATTTGCTAGGAGAAATGACAAAAGGCAATTGGGAGACATTGCAGCTTTTTCACGGGCTGCTTGACAATACACAGTTTGCGTCCTTCATGGGTACGTACCATCTACGATCCTTGTTGCATAGAAGCTGCTTGCTGACTTAAGTTGGCTTTGACTATAGAAGTAGTAATCTTGAACTTAGTGGACTCGAACGTATTCATTCGATCGATGCTGTTATCTTCCGAGAAGTTCGCAAAGCAGTCAGAAAGCGGGACATTTGGCCTTGCTGACGACTATGAAATGGACCGCATGAGCGAATTTTTGACTGTAAATTTAGTGCGGTTACTACGTGATCTCATGACAATCGTAACGCTGGACGATATTAACCACGAAAATATTTGCTGTTTGAACACAGCCATAGTGATTCTCGTTTTTCAGCATCGTCGTAAACGACTGCCTACTATCCTCGAAGCCCTACGCGACCATGAAGATGTGTCGGGCAAGCACGGCTATGTTTGTGAGAATTTCCGTGCTTTGTTATGGTTTTGGATCCAGTATTATACGCCGCGTGGTCGAGATCGACTCGGACTGGAGCATTCTAGTGAAGTGCAGTTTGACGAGTGGCGGCGCGTTGTCTCACTCTTGTGCGCCGACGACGGATCCGAGACTGCTCTGCTATCGAAGCCAGTGCGCCTTCCGCCGTCGCCCTACTCGCGGCTTTATGCTTCTCCGCGAGATAGATGCAACTAAACTGATGCGTGGTCAAATCGCAATTTTTCGCTGAGCGATCTGATATCGATACGATTGCCTGTTCATCTTACCAAATGTCACCAATTTCCTACGATCAGGTTGAAAAATTTGAAGTGTAAAAATCTTTGGATCCCCACACGCCAAATTCAGGATCAAGCAAACCATTGTCAATCGATTTGAATTATTGTTGCGACTATGTTACGTTCGAGCATTGATATATGATCATGGTCTCATAGCTTGGACAAGACGCACAAGTTAGCAAGGGGCTTCGTGAATTCAGCAAGTGCTCGTGGTCTGCATCGTTCTGATTCACTCAGAATCAGAACATGAAGCTAAGCGCAAAAATAAAACAAATAAATTAGTCTCTTTATCGTAGGAAAACAGGTGTTACAATGCTGTATTAGCTCAAGCCGTTTTTTGCCGGCAATACCCGTCAATCTGGAATTGCCAATGATCTCTAAGAATGATTTAAACTACGGTCGAAAATGCATGCAAGGTCAGTTTGCGTCGGCCTTTTCTGAGCTTCAGTGTTTCACTTTGCTAAAATGATGTTAAAGATCTAGATAGATTTAACGAGTCGATGGGATGGACAATCAAAAATCGAGATGGGATTGACACTGGTATGAAAAAAAACGCAATTTGCAAAAGTATATTTATAACCCGCTTTATTCATTCAGAGCATCATGTGTCTCAACCTTGTCAAGATTTCTCTCGTTCAGCATTTGGCAACATTGCCAAAATCCCTGACGATTTTGTCGCCCCAACGAACTCTTCTTCGATGACAAGAGGACAAAAATCTCTTTTCCCTAGCAATAGAAAGCGAACTGGTAAATTTATAGCAGATTCGAATACAGAAGCTCAGCGAATAGTTGAGTCTGAAAGAATTCAGCAGCCTCCGATTTCCAGCAAGAAGACGCGACTCAGGAAAATTAAATTAAAATCGGAACCAGTAGATTTTGTCTATGACATAAATGTGAGGCGCAAACTTCGAGAACAACTCGACGCTGATCGTCGGGAAGTTTTGCACAAAGCCAACGCTCGAGAAGCTATGCTGCGGTCGAAAAAAATGTGGATCTTTGACAAGCCTTACAAATCATCAGCAATGAAAAGTAGGCGCGACAACTAGTAGGCAAAGGTATTTAAGTATATATACGCGATACAAAGCCTCCCTTACCAAATATACAAATTGCATGTTTGCTGCAGCTACCTGTTGTCGTAAAATTTTTAATAATGTCAAGATATATACTCGGTATAGCTACAGAACTGAGTAACTTTTAAGCGATGATAATGCAAGTAGTGCTGAATCAGGAAAATAAAAGCTCGTAATTTTAAGTAAGATGGGCGGGTGATCTTAATCGATCTAGACACTTAGGCGGTGCGCAATGGAGGAGCCACGAGAATCACAACATCACCGCGCACAAACAGCATCTCTATAGTTCGCTTGGACTGCTTAATTAGCTCCTCATACGTTTCTGGGTCCAGCTCTTGAACGGTGATAGTCTCCTCAACATCACTTAGTACCATATTTAAATGCTGATCGTATGCTTGCAAAACTCCGCGTAGCTCACGGTCACCACGGCACTTGATGTAGATGCGCTCGGCAACGCTAAGCTTGATCAGGTCCAGCGGCTCATCGATCGACGCCATGACACAGAAATGTCAAGAAGTTATTCAACCAATCATCTGATCAACGTTACAAGTTTCAACCAATTATAAAGCCAGCGTCTGTAAGATCATCCATTGGCAGCAACATGCCGGACGAGAATGCGGGCGTGCTGGACGCATTCAGCGACGTGAGTGAGTCTTCAGACAGTGATGAGGAGCCACTACACATAATGGATCCATCCGATCCGCGAGCACATCGTCCAGCACCATCTGTCGTGCAACCCACACGTATTAAGACGAGCAAGACGTTACAGACTCAGATGCCATCACGGTGGGACTCAGACAATGATGTAGGTGAGCCAATTACCGTCGATTTGCATGCGAAGAATCAGAAGAATGGAACTGTTGTCGTTGTCAATGATGATGCTAAGGAGAACCCTAAGAAGAAGTCTAGTGTGACGCTGTCCAAGTGGGCACAGGCGCGCTTCTTGGTGCCTGCCAGCCAGCGCAAACTACCGGTAGTTGAAGAATCAACTTTAGAGCCGTTAAATGACTTTATCCTCAGTGATTTCAGCTCTCGATATCGTGGCGGCACGGGCAACGTGAAGGTGGAAAAAGAGATTACAGCAGAAGAAAAGGTCGAGCATAAAATCAGTAGCAAAATGCAAGTTGGTGCTCCTCTCTTTGGTACCAATCTGATGGATGCACAGAATAATGAAAAGAAAAATGAAGCCACGGAGAATAAGAGCAAGAAGAAGAAGAAAAAGGAGGATGGACGCAAGCGCAAAGAGAATCGATATTTTGTCACGGATCTTGCTACTAAATGTTTTCATTGTGGAGAGGTCGGACATATTGCAGGTGTTTGTTCAAACGACAAACTTCAACCACCATGTTATTATTGCGCATTACGAGGTCATCAAGCTTGGGAGTGTCCGAATTTACCGTGTGCAAATTGCCTGCAGCTAGGACATCAAGAGAATGTGAGTTTCCGCTGCAAAACCTTGTTGTTATTGTAACGTGACTTATTGACGTTCCTGTAGACTTGTAATAAACGTACCGCAAATTTAAATCCATGTGGCATTTGTGGCCGTCAAGAACATGATGGAAAGAAGTGTGACAACGTTGGGGATCCCGCGGCACTGACTTGTATGGTTTGCACGAAAAGGGGTCATTTACATTGTGTACCTTTGCCACCTCCTGCGGATAGGAAAGTTTACTGCCCTCACTGCTCGAGAGATCACACACTGGACAAATGCAGAACGTACAGAGAGCCTGCTGCAACCGACTTTGCAACTCGAATGGCTAGTGGACGTTCTATACAGACGTGCTTTGTCTGCAACGAACCTGGTCACATTGCTGCTGAATGTTCAAAGCGAACGAATGGCTATGACCGACGTGGAAGCAACTGCTTTAAATGTGGCAATGCTGGACACTTTGCTGCTGATTGCTATGAGTCAAGTCTAAACGAGCGATGCGTTTCTAGTCGGAAGAGAGGTCGTAATTTCAAGGATGAGTATTCGGATTACAGAGTTCACGACTATGACTATGACTTTGACGAGGATGAGGATGAGGATTATAATGCATACAACAGATCATCAAAGAATGGTAAAAGAAATCGTGACAGAGGTCGGTTAACACCCAATTCTACCAAAAGAGGGTATGCACGTCTAAACGAAGCCTTACCAACCCGACCCTACCGAAGCAACGATAGCCGCGACGGGCGCAGACGTTATAGCTTGCGCAGGTAGATATCTGTCATGACATGTGCAAGAATGTTTACTGCTTGGGCACCCTCTGAACGCATTGCTTAGCGCTATATACACAACTGTCACGATGTTGGACGTCAACTAGATTTTATTCAAATCAAATTCGTTAGATACGTACCAAGAACTCGGTAACACGAGTCTGGCCATGATTGTCGTCGTTAGAGCATACTTAGCCTGGACTAGTAGTATTATCTGTCGGCAAACTGAAGCTCTTACGATTTAGGGCGGACAAATTGCTATCTTTATGATGCCCACCACTAAATACGAATCACTTTACAAGAAACTATAGATACTTCTGAAATTATACAACAATTATTTTCTTTACTAAAAACATCACTTTCGAAATATTGCAATGACGACGATGAAAGCCGAGTTTCAGCGTGTGCGTGTGGCCTGTAATTATTTACTGTCGCAAATATGTGCGTTTGTTTATTATGTGTTCTCGTACGTCAAATAGATTTCGCGCATTTCAGATCAAAAGGAGAAGACTGCAGCGTACAAGGTCAAATGAGATGATGACTTCGAATATCCTAGAAATTGCTTTTATATTGATTACTGGCTGTATACAGACGCTATTGGAGGAGCACTTGCATGATCCAGTTAGTCTGAAGGCACTTGTGACCCACAGTAAGGTGGTGTGATGTGAAAGACTTTATAATTTATCGTTGATAAAGTTGTTGTAAATAGTTCTAGGAGAAGATGTGCTGCTGGTGATTTCACGCGCTGTATGTTCGCTTTTGACTTTCATACTTTGAAAAGCAAATATCAACAATGTTGAAAATGTATTAGGTTATCACGCATTTGGCATCCGTGGTCGCAGGTATCGATGTGGACGCACATCCGTGGAAACTTGAATTTATTTGCTTCTGTCTAGCGAAAATCAAGCCACGTATTCTATCTTTCGAAGAACCTGATGTGATGTTTCGTGAGTCGTTAGCAGCCATGTACATGGACGAAGAAGAGTACATTGAAGCGGCCAAAGCATTGGCCGCTATAAATCTTGAAAGCTCAACTCGTCAGTACACGGATGTAGAGAAGACTGAAAAATATGTTAAAATTGCGGAATTGTATCTTCAGGACGATGAGACGGTAGATGCCGAGAATTTTATCAATCGTGCATCGCGTTTTATTCACAATATTGAGGACTGGGCGCTGAAATTGCGCTATCAAGTCTCGTACGCCCGAATTTTAGACGCCAAGCGTAAATTCTTGGATGCTGCACTGCGTTATTATGAGTTTTCACAATCTAAGCCAGATGAAGTGGACCCAGATGATTTGTTAGAGCTGCTGGGCAAAGCTGTTACCTGTGCTATCTTGGCATCCGCTGGACCACAACGCTCACGTCTATTGGGCACACTATATAAGGACGAGCGCGTCAAAACTAGCGAACACGTGGCAATTTTAGAGAAAATGTACATGGAGCAGCTAATTCGTCGTCCGGAACTTGTTCAGTTTGAAAAAAGTTTGTTGCCACATCAGAAGGCTGTGCTGTCGAACGGTTTTACAGTGCTTGAAAATGCTTTTTTGGAACACAATCTGCTCGCTGCCAGTCGAATTTACAGCAACATATCACTCGAAGAACTAGGAAAACTTCTCGAGATCGAGCCAGCCAATGCCGAACGGGTTGCCGCGACAATGATTGGAGAAGATCGCATGAAGGGCAGTATTGATCAGCATATGGGATTTCTTGAGTTTGAAAACACGGAAGACGAGGTTCTGACTGCTTTTGATACGCGAATTAGCTCCATTTGCTTCAATGTCAATCAATGTGCAGAGCAGATTGAACACCAATACCCAGACATTGTTCGCTCTGCGTTTACTGCCACTGCCCCTTAACCTCGCTGATTTTTTAGCGCATCAACACAGCCTCTGCATTATCTGATATTTTATTTGTTAAGCTATGCAGATTTCGCATGAATCAATACATACTCTGGGTCCTTCTTTTGTTTGTTTGCAATGGTGTATTGATGATAGCTAAAGCCTTTGCAAAAGAGGCGGATGGTCACTCCGCAAGAAAACATATTTATTAGGCTGCACTCTGCTGCGTAAGATACTTATCGTGCTTGCTATATAGATAAGAATCATCAAGTCCATCTTGATTGTAGCTGCTGACGAGTAAACAACATCTTGTGTTTGATGATGGCTCAACATTCACTGAAATGCTATATCAGTTATTTAACTGGAAAAGATCGTGAATGCCAACTTAAAACTTGGGAGTTTTGAAATGATTTCTGGATCATGGTCGGACATAAGATCTTTGCACCTCAACTAAAACCCTCTTCTTATCATCAGCGGGCGAGCTTTCGCTCGATTGCACCCTACTTTGACCGTGGAGAGGATGTCTAACGGAAGCACTTCCAATTTAAACACTTAGATATCTTTGTCATTGCTTTTGTTTCATAAAAAATGCGGTAGCGTCAATCATCTGTCTCGCCTCCGTTCGACGCATGATCGTTGTGCTATCAGCGACGGAAAGTAAATTACTGAGAGCATGTGCATACTGACAGTCTCACAACTACGTTTTGTCATGATCAAAAATTCGCATGCGATGCACGTTTTGATTTGTAAATGAAGGACGATCGCCAATGTACAGTGGGATCAATACCGACGGCTTTGATGACAAGCTGCAGCACATCGTGGCAAGACTCAATAGGGCAATCTCTATGGCATTTTCAGTGCATTTGGCAGTTGGACGACACAAATCCACGATCAAGTCGCCTAAAGCTCAGCTCAAGCAAGTAAAGCTGTAGCCGGACAAGGCCGAAACCATGGATGAAACAGTGAGATTCTGTGTTGTGCAAGAAGCAGAAAAGTGTGGCGTAGAACACTATGGACGTCGTGCAGGGCTCGAAATAAAACAGGGGCTTTCAAGCTGAAAGAAGCTTTTCGGTGGGCTCAATTCGAAGACCATGAAGCCTACGATCATGTAAATGGACAAATGAGCAGCAATCAAGCAGGTCGACTCAACTAAAGCATGACAAAGCACGCTGACATGCACTTTAAATTTATTTGCTATCATGTCCGAAACAAATTGAATGTAAACCGAGCTCTAATGCTGACCGACTTGTTGGCTAAATCATTGCCAAGAACAAAGATTGCGAGGTGTTAGAGATATAAAACATAGTGAAGATTCAATGTGCGGGCAAAAACAAAACGTCTGTTTCTGTTTTTTGTTTTTTTATGCATAGTTGCCACGTCACAGATTTGTGTGCAGTGCACGAGGGCAACTTGCAAGTTGAAATATAACCTTCTCGAAAATCAAGTTTGCGGGGCTACAGAACATTAGTAAGTGGTTGGGAGCTGCTTAGGGTTCTGGTACCTAATTTCACTTTTCATTCTTCGCTGCGAGTAACAAGACATCGATAAAGGATGAGTTAAAATATCAGATATATATGCATAGATGGCCCAAAAACGCTTCCAAGCCCAACAGGATACTCACCGACGAAAGCTACTACCTGTGAGAGCTCAACGCCCGGATAGCGCTGGCCATAAAGGGGCCACAAGGACACCTCGAAGATATGAAGCCAGAAGAAGCGCGCGCCATGAGACGGAGGAGTGGAAGGCCGCCGACATGAAGGCGCTGGCTATTGTGGCCCAAATTCTAGGCTCAACTTACCAGTCGATGATTCGTGACGCGGATTCCGACGCATGGAAAACGTTGCGTGCTTTCTTCGTAGAGCAGTCACTTTATAACCGCGTGCAATTGAGGAAAGAGCTGCATGGATTTTCGCTTGACACGAAAGGAGACCTGATGAAGTACATCGTATAGTTTGATGATCTGTGTATGCGATTGGCTGCAGTAGGCAAGGTCGTGTCTGAAAATGAGAAACTGGTCGTTTTACTTGGAACTAACTTCAGCAGTATGATGCAATGATACGTATAATCAAGGTGCACGAGAAGGTGACGTTGCTAGACGCAAAAGAGATGCTACGCCTTGAGCTCGAATTAGCCAAGAGCAAACATTCAAGGCCTCGATTCGCGAGCAAGGTGGTCGAGGTGGCCATGGTGCTCGTGGAGGCTACAGTGGTGGTCGTGGACAGCACTAGAAGAAGAATACTGGGCCAACATTTGGTGGGTACTGCTTTAACTGCGATGAGTACGGTCATAACTGTCCTGAGTTGGAATAATTGGAGAATGAGTTCGTTTTCTCGGCCACAATTGATGGTTCAGTGACTGCTTGATAGCTACCACATGTGGATGAAAAGATAGACTTTGTGAAGTATCAAGACTTAAAGATGCCAATCATCATCGCTGTGGCTAGTGGACAGCAATCGCTAGCCAAAGGGAAAGGAGCTGTGCATTTTGTTGCTAGATTTGCGCGAACGATCAAGTTGACGGAAGTTTTTGTATGTGCCCTAACTGGATAGAAAAACTGGTGTCCGTTCCGGCGTTGACGGGACGTGGCGTTGTCGTGCAGGTTGAGCGCGACCGAGCGACGCTAGTGGTGGATGGCGAGGTGCTAGACGTAATTCATCGAAACGGTAAGCTGTTCATGTGGCACTTACAGCAGCTGAAGGGAGAACAAGCCGCCCAGGTAGAGCGTGCAGATGGAACTTTATGGCACGCCCAACTGGGCCATATTTCCGCGTCGAAAATGCAAGCCGCTGAAAAGATAAGTATGGACTACCTGAGCTTCCTAATGAAAAAGACAACGTGATCGCTAGCTGTGGTTGTACTCAAGGCAAGATGACGACAAGTCCTTTCGCACGAAGTTCGGCGGTGAAGTCAATACTTGAAGCCCTCTGGAAGTCGTGCACACTGATGTTATGAGTCCAATGAAGCCCACATCGAGAGGTGGGGCCTTGTATATGCTCACGTTCATCGACGACTACAGTAGATACGTATACGTGTATCTGCTTTCTTCGAGAGCACATGTTTTTGATGCTTTCGCGAGTTCAAGGCCCTCGCATAGAACAAAACTGGCTACAGGATAAAGTGTGTTCGTAGCGATAAGGGTAGTGAGTACACCAATGCGAATTTCAATCGATTTTGTGCCACCGTGCATCAAACAAGTGCTCCGTATTCTCCGCAGCGGAATGGATTGGCGGAGGGAATGATCCGCACAGTAACTATAATAGCCCGAGCGACGATGTATCACGCGGACGTGGAGGGGCACTGGCATCGTATCCCAAACACTGCGCGTCGCAACAAGACTCGGTTCGAAGTTCTCATCGGCACGCATCACTCACTCGAGCACCTTCGAGTATTTGGATCTACCGGGTACGTGCATCTCGACAAGAGTAAGAGGACGAAGTGGGAAGTGAGGTCGAACCGCTGCATCTTCTTGGGATATGCTGACGGCTCGAAGGCATACCGAGTATGGGACCTCTAACATAAAAGACTGGTCAAAACGCGCACGGATGGCCACCTGCTCGTTATCACGATGTTGTTCTCGTTGATAGTGGAGATAGCCGAACGAAGTACGCGCTCGAAGACGACGACGGGTTGAGCGCACCGACATGTGCAAGTACACCCACTGCCACAGACATAGAGATCGATGAAACGAGAGATGACCTTATGCATATGGAGGTAGATGGATCTGTTGTTCCAGCTGCCGAAGTTTTGATTGAGGAGGGCTCCTCGAGTGTTTCTAGTAATCTCGCTGATACTACACGAGCAGGCGAAACTTCGTTGGTTATTTATCCGGAATGAGAACTTCGATCTGTTCGCCCCAAAAATACTTGCCTGCCTCTACTCACGATATTGACGCTCCAGTACAACCCAGGCGAGTAATTTTCGTCGATGGTATCTTGGTGTTTAGCTGTGGATGAAGGTCTGAGCGTAGACCTCGTGTTGATCAGACTCGGCTATTGACCAACGGAGATGAAGCTGATGGTATGCCTCTGCTTGCAAATGAACCCCATGTGAGCTCTCACGACTACCGTGTGACTAAAGAACCGGACCTTAAACGCTCTCGGCTTGATGAGTACACCTCGCATTGGTAGCCACCGAAGCTCCCACAAGCTATGCAGAGGCGATGGCATCATCCGAAGCCAAGCAGTGGAAAGAAGCTATTTGCAAAGAACTCAGGGCACACATTCGCAATCACACTTGGAATTTGCCCAGGCGCCCACATAATGCACGAGTCATCGGATGCAAGCTGGTATTTGAACGCAAATTTGATGAGAACGGCAACATCGTACGATATAGAGCTCGCTTATTGGCTCTTGGCTGTTTGCAAACTCGTGGCGTGGACTACTACTACACGTACACCTCGGCGTCGAGCACCAATACTATTCACGCGTTCCTGCGGTGTGCTGCAGCAAGCGTTTGAAGATCCGACTGTTTGACACAGAAACCGCAGTCTACATGGATGAAAAGTGTACATAGCCGTGCCACAAGGTGTCCGGATTGATAACGGGTTTGTATGCAAGCTGTAGCGAAGTCTTTATGGTTTGAAGCAAGCCGCTGCAGTCCGGTACAAGACTATTCGAGTTTCATTTGTTGACATTCGTCCAATGCCGTGCAGATCCATGTATGTTTGTCCGTCCCGTCAATGATGACAAGCCTCCTGTGTATATCGTACTCTATGTCGATGATCTGCTCGTCCGTTGTACTACGGATGCTGAGGCAGATGCAGTTTGTGCTGTACTTAGTGCCAAATTCACTGTGAACTCTCTTGGCGATGCTAGATATGTTCTAAGGATAGAGATTGATTCTGTACCGCCGAAGGGGTAGCCTGTGTTGAGGCAGATTTACAGTCTCAAGAGAATGCTCGAGCGATTCGGGCAAACTGAGACAAATGCTGCGCGTAATCCGATGGTGCTTGGCCAGGACTTTACGCCAGACGAATCGCATGAGGTGTACAAAATGATCGAGGCTATCGAGAGCTTGTT